TTGTAATAATCGCCGGCACTCCATTGGAAAATCAACTCGCCTGTTTCGATATCGACTTCCTGAAAGATACCTTCATAGATCCAGCCATTTCCCGATTTCCCAGCGGGGGTGAGATCCGTCTCCACGAGATCGTAAACGGTCATCAATGCCGTCCCTTCGTCGGTAATTTTGAAATCGTGAACATCACCGTGCAAACCATTGGCAGGGGAAACGACATGGGCCACGTTGTACGACGAATTTAACTATTATGACCGACATTAGTCAATACCGTTATGCGGAGATTAAACCACGCGACAAAAAGCCAAGATTTCTACATACCATGTAGTATGACCCCAAGCCTCTCGTTCCATCATCCTTCCCCACCCAAAATGTTAGGTAATCCTGGTCTCGATATTGCTGGACATTCAAGTCCATAATCATGCCATAGTCCTTTTCGACCCAGACAAGGTTTCCGCGATTATCGTATATTAGTGGTCCCGGCTCGGGATAGAAACGGCCACGCGGACTGAGCAAGACATAACCGTCTTCGCAACGGGGGTCCCATCGCAGGAGATTCACTTCTGGTGACGCAATGCTAAAAGAATGGAAAGGGGTGGTCGGATGGGCGCCCAATAGACCGAATTCATACAGGAAACTGTGCCAGGAGAAGAAAGCGGAGGCGAATTCGAGGCGCAAGAGGAAAAGGAAGACGAGTGATATCAATGACATGGCGGGTTTAGAGAGGAATGAAGAGTGAGAGGGGGACAGGAGAGAAGAAACAAGAAGATCATACTTCTATCCCGTTGCTTTCGCGTTTCCAGTCCGAGCGTTTCTCACTCGTCCTTTGCTGGAAAGAATTTAACCCGGATCGGGAGGCCATGATGGAGTAGGATGATGAATACATAATCGGGGGGAGGCTTGGCTTCGGGGTTATCTCGGATTTAGATTCCAGATAAGGAGAAGGAGGCGAATTGGACAGGTAATTGGAGAAATTGATGAAGATAGCAGTGGAATTGGACGATGATGAAATGTTGAAGATAGAGAGAGTAGGAGAGAAAGAAGAAAGAAGAAAGAAGAGTGAAGCTAGTCAGAAATGAATACGAAGTCACGTTACTCTGCAGCCTTGCAGGCATCCAGCATTCACTAAAGTACGACATGTGATCTACAGTAAGAAATGCATATAATAGTGGTGGATATTTAATTCATATTCCAGTATCAAACGCCGTAGGAGAATCATTCATATCGTTAATCCATCGACATCCCCAGGGCTCAATCCCTCAGGTGCTCAGGAAACCATTCAGCAGTCAATTTGAATGCACAGAATTCCGTCTTCGCAGTAATTACAAACATGTCTCGTTTATCAGAGAGTGAGAAAAAGGAGAAAGGCAAAGAAACAGCATTACAAGACATAAAATGAAGGTTCTAGCCCTCCACAGAAAAGAAAAGCGAAAAGGAATTCACTTCCGACCGTGGCCATCCTTCCCTTTCGACGGACTGCTGTCCGGACTCAATTGGGGACTGACAAAGCTCACGTGCTTTTCCTCTTTGTTGTTACCACTGTCCAGCGCGGTCGACGAAGAAATGAACCGGTCATTCTTCTTTTTCTTGTTTTGGGAACGAGGGTGACTCCCACGTCGCAACGAATTTGGCAGAGGCGCCGCTGTGGGCGCCGAATTCGCCAGTGACGGAGGCCCATTCTTGGGTTCTGTGGCGGCTGCCGTGGTCGTCTCATCGTCATAATCCACGTCGATGTGACTAAAGTCTTGGCCGTCATCGTCTTCCGCTTCCGACGAACTAGGTCCAGGGCTTCCAGTAGTATCCGATCTGGCATCGCCATCATCGTCATCATCGCTCACCAAGCTGGGAGCTTGGTTGGATTCAACAGTGTGGGGGCTAAGATTCGCCGTCAAATCCATTCCGTCAACGTTATCTTCCAATGTCGAAGATGGCGTCGATCCATAGGAAGAGATATAAGAAGCTCCTGGTCGCACGGGTGTCAATGTCTCTAAAGACTGAGGTTTGTGTGCATCGCGACTGGTACTGGGTTGATGAGATGCGCCCACCGTACGCATGGGCTGTCGACCTCCACGACCCTCCGACATGCCTACATTCAGGTCTGTCGATGATGGAGGCGGGACAGGGTTCTCATCTTCCGATCCTTCGTCATTTTCATCGCCAGAAGAGTAGGCCTCGAGATCAATCGTGGCCTTGGCCTCATCAACTAACTGGCCGAGATCGACCCCAATGCCCTGATGCTGCATCAAAGAAGATAGATGAGGGGTAATCGGTGAGGCCAGGAATGAGGACGAAGCCTGGTCCGCCGTTCCCGATGTATACCGGTTACCTTCTGAAAAAGAACGGATATGAGCATTGCGAGGTGTTTCCACCATGGATGAGGATGGCAGGCGGTTTGACTCGGATCGCTTCCGAGGTGTTACCGCGCTCTGTGCAGCAGCAGTTGCCGTTGCAGGAGTAGTAGCGCTAGACTGGGAAGATTCGATCGCATGCGCTGACCGTACCAGAGGATGGACATAACCGGGAGCGGCTGCAGAGCCGCTGGACGTCTCCGTCTTGACCTCCCCAACCACCGTACCGGCTTGATCCACCTCGACTGGCTCACCGGAAGCCACGGCAGCAGCATCATGACTGGCAAAATTGCGATTGTGAGCGATACGACAATGGTTGATGAATCCCTGAGTGCTAGAGAAGTTGTCTCGTCGACAATCCAAGCAGACCAGCTTGACCATCACACCATCCGACTTTCGCCGGATAATCATGGGACCAGCCCGTTCCCTAACAGGGGGGCAACCATTTGCCAGGGCCTGCAGTTTCGCACCACTGGCAGAGCCGCGTTGAGATCGAGACTTGGTTAAAGCAGAATAGTCGCCGGAAGTACCACGTGTAGAACGACCTTCGAAGGGGGTTGCTCCAATAGTGGTTGCGCCTGGCATGGAAGAAGCAGCACCCCAAGGTGTCCCAGCGTTGATGTGATCGCCGTCAAATCGAGGATCGGGAAGCAACCATCTGGCGTAGTGACGTGAGTAGGGCCCATCGGTGACACCCCATGGGGCAGGCGACGACGGTACTGGTCCATTTCCAGGAGGGCAGACCGCCACACCTGTCCCGTTGGCCAACGAGGGCGACAAACCTGCGACTTGCGAACCGGGATAGGGGATCTCAGAGCAGCGACGCAACTGTTCCAGCGCGACTTGACATTTCGCGAGTTCCTGATCGATCAAACGTAATTCGTTGTGTTTGAGCAGCACTTCCAGACTCAGTTGGGCTTCCAAAGTCTCTTGTAGCTTGTCGACGTTGATACTCTTAGTATGCGACGTGACCGGGGATGGTGGTTGGTGATGGGGCTGTTCAGCGGGTTGGGAGACGGAGCTCTGCGACGATGGCGACAAGGGAGCGACCGGCGCATTGCCAGTGTTAGCGCTGGAGTCGCGATCGCAACATAACCTGGTTGGCGCGGGAGTGTCGGGCGCATCGGGAGAGGGGGAACGCTTTCGCTTCAGTTGTGAATTTGAGTTGTTGAAAGACAGAGAGAGACTATTTTGTAGAGGGACGCCGTGCGAGGCGCAAGATGGTGGAGTTGCGAGCATTGAGAGGGAGTGGTTGTTATGGTCGGTGATGTTGTTATGACTGTTGTTGATGTCTTTGCTGGGAATGGTATGGTTGGTGCTGTCGCCTCCAATAACTGAGGGCCAAGGCAGCAGGCGAAACATCCATGCGAAAGAGAAAGTAGAAGTATTAGAGGCAGAGATTTAGTCGTATTTATACAGTCATGAAGAGAGCAAACGGTAAAGGAAGTAGCAAAGTAGTATAGAAGAAGTAGGGGAATTGCGACCGTGGAGGACAAAGAGGTCAGGTGATATCAGAGGGAGATAAGTTCGAGATGAGGAGATGACAAACAAAGCGATTATGATATATGACAGGTCTTATGAAATAGATGTAATAGAGAGAAAACACAGATACAATAGAGGACACAGCGATAGAATCCGGAGTAGGGAAGATGAGCGATCCACGGATGGCCTGAGAGGAGGTGGCGTAATCGCTGAATCAGCGTGTAGATGACTCAGCTGAAGGGTACAGAGTATTGTGCACTGGTGTATTTAGTGGTAGAAATCAATAGTAAGTAGAAATAATGAGAAGACAGAAAACAGAGGGAAAAGAAAGGAGAAGAGAGGGCGAAACACACTCCCAAACTAAATATAACGAATCGAAGACGATCGCCTCAACCGGATGGAAGACACCAAGAAGTCAAACGGATGCCTGCGTGTCCCCACCCTCCAGTTCCGCTGTCCAATGGCCACTGACCGGATCGCTCCCCATTCGTCGATCCATCCACCGATGATGCATAAGTGGGCCTATGGCCGGAGTCTGGAATGGCCGGTACTGAGGGCGGTGTATTGTGTGGTAATTACATGCCTGTACTGGTCTTGTACTGGTCTTGTACTGTGCAATTGAGAGAGAATAATAGTATGTATAATAGTAGTAGTATTTCTAGATAGAAGATTAGAAAAGAAGATTGTACTCGTAGGTATAGCTATGTGTTATGCTACCCCTCCAACTGTTATCTGCAAGTACATGTGTGCTGTCCTGCCTAAGGTCAATAATATACCATTGGGTACCTATCAGAACTCTAAAGCGGCTAGCTAGTTGTCTCATCACAAGTACGAGCCCCTGACACGTCACGTGGTACCACGGCCTTGCAGTTCCTGTATGCCCGATTGAGTAATCTGTATATATCCTCCAGAGTCCCCCCCTCCATCTCCGGGCTCAAGGGAATGCACTCCAAATATTCCTCGGGCCAATTTACCCCGGATATCCCGACATCCCACACCTCCGGACAATCCGAGAACCCTGCGGGGAAACCGCAATGTCCTCCTGTCATTCTTTACCCCATGGAGAATGTCCGCCGTTATGAATACTGCCAAATTTGCCATATAAAAGGCGCATAGAAGCTCCTCAACGGTCATGCACGACATTCTCAAAATAACGGCTTCTTGACCGCCAGAATGCGCTTGCGGAATTTCCTCGCAGCCTTGGGCACCATCCCCTCCCTCGTCCACGCCGATTACGTCGACTGGCGCTCCTTCAAAGCCAATGGTGTCAACCTTGGAGGCTGGCTAGTCCAAGAGTCCAGCATTGACAGCGCTTTCTGGGCTCGTTATGGCGGTAACGCGTCGGATGAATGGACACTCTGCCAAAACCTTGGTCCCCGGTGTGGTCCGGTTCTCGAGCATCGCTATGCCACCTTCATCACCACCAGGGATATCGACCGCCTGGCGAAGGGTGGGGTCGCTGTCTTGCGTATTCCGACACACTATGCGGCGTGGATCGACTTTCCTGGCTCGCAGCTGTACTCGGGTAACCAGACAGCTTACTTGAAGAGTATTGCGGATCATGCCATCACGAACTACGGGATGCATATCGTTATCGATGTTCATTCCCTCCCGGGAGGACTCAATGGTCTGCCTATCGGAGAAGCCATGGGTCATTGGGACTGGTTCAATAACCAAACCGCTTTGGATCAGTCCCTTCAGATCATCGACAATGTCATTGACTTCATCCAGAACTCTGGTTCCCCGGAATCCTATACTATCGCACCCCTGAACGAACCAGCCGACCTCAACAAGGAGTCCATGTCTAACTTCGGCACCCCGGCTGTCCTGTCCGACGATGGCGCCGCATGGGTGTCTAAGTATATCAACGCCGTTCTCGACCGGGTTTCCAAAGTCAATTCCAAGATCCCTGTCATGTTCCAAGGCAGTTTTAAAAGCCCCGATTACTGGTACGACCAGATACCTGACGATGCCAACCTCATATTTGACGTTCATGTCTACCACTACGAGCATCCTCCAAACACTACGTCCGCCAATCTTCCAGCCCAACTCTGCGCCGACGCAAAACAGAAAACCGGCAGTGGAAAGTTCCCCGTCTTCATAGGCGAGTGGTCTATCCAGGCTGCACAGCGAAACTCCTTTGCTCTTCGCGAACGAAATCTCAATACTGGCATTGCGATATTTGGCCAGTATACTCAGGGTAGCTCTTACTGGACAGCCAAGTTCACGGGCAATGACACCGTCAATGGTCAGGGAACGCAGCAAGATTACTGGAACTTTGGGACATTTATCGACAACAATTGGGTTCATCCTGGAAGCGAAAGCGTTTCATGCTAGTTGCGTACAATGAGTAATGAAAATACGGATTTGTATATATGCACCCTCAATACATAGAGTACAGTCAGAAAAAGAAAAAAGAAACTCCCAATTCAACACTCAAACCAGCAGACCCCAGCTTAAGACACGCACAATCATACGAAGTCCTGCAGGAACTCCCTAGCCTCCCCTAGAAACTCCCCTCCTTCACCCTCAGAATAAAATTCACCACCACACCCGCCAGCAACGCCAACGCCAACACCGTCGGCCCGAACCTATCATCAATCCCCGACTGCCCTCTCTTCCTGATACTCTGCGCCCGCCAATGAAATGTCACCAGCGCATATATCATAGCTGCCATAGCAATAAACGTAAACAGCCCAGCCGAGATACGGCCAATGCGGTCGCCGAAGTTCAGAAGGCCGACGGCGAGGCCGCCGAGAATGACGGTGAAATTGAGCCAGGAGAGGAAGGTGCGCTCATTAGCGAAGAAGACTTTTGGTTCGACGCGGGTGGGAAGGGCGATTCGTTTGCCTGTTTTGGATTTGGGTTTAATGTTAACTAGGATAATGGTTGTTGAATGAAGGGATATTGGTCGTTACGTACCTGGGGCGGTTTGGAGGAGAGGCTGGCTTGACATTTTGATTGGTAGGGGTTGGAAGCACACAAATATGCAGATATAAAGCAGATTGGAGTAATATTTCCCTTCTCAAGAGTAAAAAGACAGTGAAAGAATGTCAGATATCAAATTCAACCAAGCTGCCGCAGCTTGAGAAATCCGTTGCAATGCCAAAAGTACCAAAGGAGTTGATGTAATACATCAGGTGACCAATCATGCTACATTTTCGGCAGTCACCGAGTGGGTTTCTGTCGCTGTTGTCCGCCAGCGGATCTTCCACGTGCACGGTCTTGATGCCTTAGGCGACATATTTGTATGGGTCTCGATCCACTGCGAACCAACCACACTATACAAACACCACAAACTGTTGCTATGGCGCTCGTATGAAGTAGTAGCAACTGCTTATTGCTGTGGCATTTGTGCTATTACATCAGGCGGCACTTCTATCATGGTCTAGCCCCAAACAAATAAACAAGTGGGAGCTCTTGATCACTGTCGATTGAAGTAATTTGCTGTTTGATGGACTTATTGCAGGTTGACAGCATGGCTTCTGTATTTTTGCTCTAGAACTGAATAAAGCGTGTGGAGGAGACAGAAAGATCTGCGTTCTTTCTGCACTTCCGATCCAACGAAAACACCCTCATGTCTGGAGAGCATTTCGTTCTGGCAATGAAAAGGATTAGGTGGTCATCAAGCATCCTCAATTTGATGATAACCTGAAAAGCTATAGCCAGTATTCCAAAAAATAAATGGATAGACAAGCATCCTCTCAGTCTACAAAATTCATCCACAAAATGATTGATGTTATACCAGCCAGCTCAGACTTACCGGACATGACGGTCTTGGAACCATTTAAGAAAATATTGTGGGCTGCGCGTCTGCGAAGAGCTTTGAAAATGTAGGGGACCAAGCAAATAATGGGAATGGCGCTTTGGGGACTACGAGATATACACAATGAAGGGCTTGTATATTGTGGTAGGCTTTCATTGGAGAAACTGACAAAGTCCGCAAGATAGACTTACTAGGAAAAAAGACTTCAAATTGGAAAATGGGCTTCTGATGGGGTTCGAGGATGGATGGGAAAGCCCCTAATTATGACAAACCAGTGCCGCTGATGCTATATGCTAAGCTGGCTGATCTTGCTTCCGGTAAGGTGTTGCAGAGTTTGACGATTACACGAGCTGATGCGAATCGGTAGTCATGGCGCCCAGTCGTAGTGAAGTAACCTTAATTAAATGTAGAAGTCCAGAATTCTATTTCAAAAAACTTGAGCGAGTGCCATTGACATCTGGGCCTGGGGAATAGCAATACGTGTGCTAACAGACATCGAATCCCAACAGAGCACCAATCTTGTATAGTACTTCTATTTTCTTCACGCCCAAGTTAATTGCTTCTTACCTGGCGTATATGATTGCATTATCAAGGACGGCACGCTTGAACATAAAGCAAACGCAGTTCGAACCGCCCAGTGCCATGATTTTAACGTCCGCTCAAATAAGTGCTTCCAAGACTGCAATTTATTGATTTGTGAGTATGTCAACATTGTCTTAGAAGGCGGGTATTGGACTGATCGTCTATTAGTTCAAGGGTTTTCGGAGTTCGATGTAGTATTTCGTTCTGCTGTTTTGGAGCCGGTTCCGATAACAAAGGTTGACTGCGGATCAGATACTAGATTCTGGGTACTTGGGTGTCTGGGTTCTACTAATATGTATCATGAATCAGTTTTTTATATGTTGTCTTGAATCGATGCCAACTAGGTCCCGTTAGACTGGAATAGCCTAGAACGCTAGACAAGGAGGCTAGGACCAGAAGTATGAAAATATATAGTTCCCGGTGACTATAGAGTGATCTAAGCTAAATTGGCCAAACCACTATTTAATTCCTCAGAGCCAGATTGAGCCCAAGCTCATTCCAGACGTTAAGTTTTTACTTTTTATCCTAACTTGGTAATAAGTTTTGTCAAGTTTTCACTTGACCGTCTGCAACTATATATGTGGCGGTGCTTATCCACTTTCCCCTTTTCGGATCAGATAAACAAGCCACACGATGATGCTGATGCCACGGAGAGCAATAAACACGGCCGACGCTTTGCTACGGAGTATCTACAAGACAATTATTTCTGATTCTACCGCGGTCCAACTGCGCTGATATCTAAGGTGAGTTTTTCTTCACTGTGCTTTTCCTTGATTGTTTCCCCTATCCCCTGAGGAAGTGTTTGTTGCTGTTTGTCGCTATCTCACCCCCGCGCAATCAACTAACCATTGGTTTCTCAAGTCAGATCGGATACATACAAGTCGAGGAATACTACACCGGATTATATTGAAAATGGCCACCGAGCAGAAATCTGCCAATTCTGTACGTTAATTGAGCCACGGGCCGACAGGAATCCCTACTGACAATGCGACCAGCCCTTGCCCATCGAGGAGCTTAGCAAGGTCACGTCTGAGGTGCGTTCAACTCTCTCCAGTTTTCAACATAGGAATGCGGGGAGACTTACAGAAATTCAATAGGCCTGCGAAACCACACTCGCCGAGGTAAAAGAATACGACCACACCAGAGTCGGGGACTGGAATTCTCAGATCATCGTACGTCCAACGTCCCCCACACCTATCCTACCCCAATAAACATCCCATATACACGTATACTAACAACAACATCGAGTAGAACACAATCCTCAAATCCCTGATTGCCGCAACCGCCCCCTCCACCCCTTCAACACCTGCCCCCTACCGCTTCACCGTGAACAGCACCATCGTGCAGCAAGGTGTTGTCGACAAAGCCACCACCGCGGACGGTGAGCATAGCAATGCCGGAAAGCGGGGGATGCACTCTGCCGCCGGTGCGTTCTGGGATGTCAATCGGGATGGAATGTGGACGTTTAAGTATCCCGGGGCTGAGGAGAGGGGTTTGGATGTTGTGGTTAGTGTGACTTGGTTTGCTGTTGGTTAGATTTCTTTTGATTGATTGATTGGGGTATAACATGCTTTGGGGTGTTTATTTTTCGGTTTGGATTTGTATATCCATATTGGTTTTTCTTCTGAGTATTTAATGGGCCAGTGCATATATTTCAATGGGATTGAAAAGTTACAACCATTCCATGAGGGCACTAAGAATGGGGGACAAGCAACTTAGATCCCTGGGTATGCTACTATCAACTATAAACAAACATATTCCAACATGATTGATTGAAAACCTCCCAATAGATGAGCATGATCCTAACTCCGACATGAACCTTTGTACCAAGCGCCATGCTTTCCACACAAAATAAAAGGATAAAGAAGAAAAAATTACCGAGGCTCAGAATAATCGTTCAATGCCACACATACCGCCCCGCGATGGTGTCCGTTATACTGACGAATGACCTGCCCAGTGTTCAACTCCCAAAGACGAGCGTAGTGATCACTAGACACCGTAACCAAATAGGCTGAATCAGCAGAGAATGCACAGTCCCAAACCCACCGCTGGTGCTGGCTCAGGACCGTTTCCAAGAAAGGAGTGCCTGTCGTAGGATCCATTGGTGGCCCATCTGGTTGTGCAGGGAACGGGTTCGGAGGCTCTTCAGCTGGCGCTCGTGATCCAGCGACTATGCGGAAGGCGTTCAGGTCCTGAATCCTGTTTCTTTCTTGAATTACTGCTGGGTCTGTACTCTCCGCTGTTGGTGACGTGGAACTGTTTGTCTCGGCTCCACTGATAACTTTGGCCTTGCCCTTAGCGGCAGCCGCAGCGGCCATTTTTGCCGGGGGATAGTCGTAATCGAGGTTCCAAACTTTGGCTGTATGGTCCGCTGAGCAAGTTGCAAGGTGTTTGACGTCTGGTGATAAAAGGATGCGGATCAGGTAGTCTTTGTGTGCTTGGAAGGTGCAGATAGGGACAATCCGGGTCACTTCAACATCCTGGATCATTCGCCAGATGTAAACGTTACCCTAGATACTTCATTAGCTTACCATCCCCTTTCCCATCGATATTTTGGAGGAATACCTTCTTGTTTCCAGCGCACAGTAAAGAGCCATCACTGGCAACGCTGACACTCTGAACCGCTACGTCCTCCTCGGGAATCAATTGATGCGTGCATACGCTCTCTCCCAAGTCCCAGACACGAACGATTCCAGCACGGTCACCACTGACCAACTCTCCTTGATTAGGATGGATAGCCACGTCGTTCACAGGAGCTCTATGCGCGTAATTGCGTTGTAAACTGCCAGTCCGTGTATCCCACACCTTAACAGTCCCATCTTCGGAGCTGGTCACCATCCACTTTCCTTCGCAGTGAAATGCTACCCCAGTAATGTTGCTTGTGTGCCCATCAAATGTCATGATTGGGTTCGGGTTTGTCGATTTGATATCGTAAAGCTTGACATTGTGATGACCGGCTGCTGCTAAGTAACGCTTATCGGGTGTGATGCAGAGGCGATTCACTTGCGAATCCGGATGTTGGATGGTGCGCGAGCAGATGCCCGACAACGCTTCCCAAAAGCTGTTCCGTACCAATTAGCTCCGACAAAACCGACATCATATCGAAGCGACGGCACAATTAAAGAATGAGCTTGTACATACCGAATAGTATGGTCGTAACCCGCTGTTGATCAATTATACCCGGTCAGCTTTGAGTCCGTTTGCTCTCATAAGTGGATACTGTAGGACAACATACCCGTGCAAAGGATGACACTCATTTTGAGCTCCTCGTGTTTCCGGAGAGCCTGACACTCAGCAGCCCAATGAGACTCGCGTTCTTCCACAAAAAAGGGACTGAAATCCCCCACTTTTGCTATTGCTGCTCGAGGTGGATGATGGAACAAGATAGTTAATAAGCCGATGATGTTTCCTAGCATGGCTTAGTGTGAATAGGGCGGTCAGCAAAGCGGTGGGAAACAAAAAGAGAAGCAGAAATTAATTTTATCTTGGGATATCTCTTAGAGAAGAGGAAAGAAAAAAAAAAGAGCAGTCATTGTTTTCGTTTATTTCAGCGTGGAGGGGCTCTCTTTGTTTTATCTCAATCTTAATTTGTTTATATTCACTGATGTTGTCGTTTGTGCAGTTCAATCCATTACTGGTCACATGATTGAAGTCTTGTACATTCTTGCCATGACTCTGCTCCCTTAACTTTCACTTCGTCACACAAGCTTCATTCCCTCAAGATGGTTGCTGTTTGATCACAAGGACTCTGTTGTATTTTGTTTGTCTGCCCCGGCGTTCGGATTGCCTTGGCCATCTGGTTCAGACTTTGAGGCGATAACCTGGTACGCGCGTAGCGCAAGGTATCCTTGTGCTAGCTATCGAGTAACTTTTGACTGAAGGTACGGTGTCTAAGCTCATCCTATTGCTTGGGGTATCTTGTTTGCTCTTGGGTTATTGGGATGTCCATTTTCTGACGTTGTTGCCGCCAAACAGTCTACATCTGCATCGATTTGCCTTCAATACACCTTGCACATAACGAGCCAGACACCTCGAGCCACCGCACCGGAGAACATTGCGAATCGCATCCTACAGGGGCAACGAAACTTGATTCTTGGGATTCAAAAGTCCTCGACTCAGTCCAGTCGAGATGGTTGGAAGCGTGGCTGAAGGTATTTCTATGTCTCTTTCACAATCCCAAGACCTTCAAGAGCTTTTTGCACCTGAGGGCCTTCCATCGCCTCCTTCTTTCAGTCATCTGCATGTGAATGATCTGGGGCTTACACCTTCCCCTGGATCGCAGCAGCGGCAACAGCAACGCTCGGCAGATGTCACTCATGCATCGTCCCGAAATGAAAAGCGTGATAAACCTAATGACGGAGTAGCCGACAAAATTGCGACAAAGGGCTCTACGCAACAAGCAGAAGACTTGTCAACTGACACGAATGAGCCCTTATACGATCCACTCTTCGATTCGGACTTCGCTTTTCAGGACTTTGAGTCGGACTTTCTTTCGCATAAACGCGCTCATAACGAAGCATTTTCCGAAGATTTCAGCGTTGAGGAACCCCTAGGAAAGCGACAGAACCAGGATGGATTAAACTTGGGTGATGTGCTTCCGGAAGAGACTCCTTCTCTAACGCCTGATTCGTCTCACCGGCCGGAATATGTCGAAACTGCCCTAAATACACCAGCTGGTATAGAGAGGTCGCATACTCCAAATTCCTTGTTTAGCTCTCTTGACCTTCTTTTCCCTGAGTCGAGATTCCCCGCACCGTTGGATAATACGGTGCTATTCGATAATCTCGCAATTCGTCCAGGCCATGCGGTATCTCAGGATTCAGGGCCAGAACTAGCTCCCACCAAATGCGTTGAGTTGTCTACTGAAATACAGTCTGCCAGCGACGTAACGCAACAACGGTTTTCCCTTGATGCGCAAGATTTGCTTGCCAACACAAATCGAGAGATCTTACAGCGGGCGGATGATGTACCACAATATGTGTCCCCGTACCCTGAATACAGAGGCTCCTTGGGTTATCTTCCATCGGCACCGAGTCTTCATGTCAAGTGCGTGGAAGTTGTCGACGAGCGTATGAACTACCGCATGGAATGTATTCGCTCCAAGAACCACCAATTGACACACGAGCGAAATAAGTATAAAAGCTTCTATGACGAGTTTAGTACGGTGGACCAAGCGACGGGGAAGACCAAGCATCAGATGCTTCACCATGATAATGCGATGCTTCGGCGCAATGCTACTCGACACCAGAAACGGGTTGACGGGTACAAAGAGGAGATCGAGCATTGGAAGAGCAAGCTACATGAAGTTTCGACGCTATACAACAACCTCCTTTATGATGTTGCTATTCAACGGAGACTTCCTGAAGTTGCGCCTCCCCCAGCCAAGTACAGACCCCGGCCGACCCAGCACCAGCCAGCCGCCGTTACAGCTGTGAGACCTCAATTACCGTCATCTCTGGCCCCAACACAGCCAGCCCCAAACCAGCAACCTGCTCAGCATCCATTTCCCAGGCGGGATGCTCAATCTCCGTCGGGCACAACCACAGCGATAGCTACCGCGAACCAACTCGCTCTCCAGCCTCTTCATTCCTGCCCAGCCCCAGTGGCAGGTCGTAGCTCGCAAGCAGTTACAATAGACCTTACAACAGAGGACGATCCCAACACGGCCCCCAACCATCCTCCCAATCCTTCTCCGCATTCTGGGGCAAACGCAAACAGCGGGGCGGAAGTACTTCAATCCTTCCGACAGAAAAATTATTCCTGGCTCAAGGAACCAAACCAGGTGCCGAACGCCACGTATCGGACGGGATCTTCTCTCAATAATGCCAATGCTGATCGTGCAGCAACCGGATCAAGTAGCGGTCATACGTCAACCGACGATCCTCAGCCTTCCCGCCCACAACACGGGAACGATGGTCATGACGTTGAGCAAGATGAATTGGCGCAGATGATGGAAGCGGAACTTGGCCGGCAGACGTGAACTGGCTATTGCGCTGTTTATGATTTCCTTTTTCATTTTATTTTTTATTTTTTCTATTGTGCTTTGATATCCAATTGTCTGAGTGACGTGAGATCCAAGGCGTTTACTTGCATAGCGACGGTTTTGCGTATGTACTTTTATGCATTCTTATTGGACGAAAATCAACTACATGATAGTAGTATGGCTTAATCATGCTGTAATATTTTTTATTTGCTCCAACCTATCCACAAGAATAAATCCCGATCGAAGCCTAAACCGGAGCGTAACCAACCAATCCAATCCATACCAAGTTAAAACACCTTGTCAAAGCTCCGAACGATTTACCAAGAGCAGCTACTGTACTATGTATATACAGATACAGAAAAATTGAGAAAAAAAAGAAATCTCCAAATTTCCCATGCTAGCGCATTGCATATGCCCGAACCCAAAAATAGCGTATTCGACAAGGGGAATACCCGTACATACAAGTAAGCAATCCACCCTAGGCAGAAGTTAATAATAGCCTGGTGCAGGGTGCATGCGCCAATTGATTCTGACAGATAGGGATCTGACCTGGGTGTTTGGGGTGTCATCCCGGCATTGTGTTCTGGTCGATTCGTAATGCGCAAACATGCAGCTTCGAATGTCGACATTGCGGGGAAGTGGGAGTATAGAGATGATGATGACAGATGACAGATGACAGGGAAAAAAAAAAAAAAAAGCAAATAACGACAGATGGTATATAGAACAGAACAGGAAAATATTCTACTCAAAATTTTAAAAAAAGCAAAACTGTAGATCTTGTAAGCAATCAAGCTTGACCATCCTCCTTCTCATGCATTGGCGAAGCGGAACCACTGGAAGCACTGCCATTACTGCCATTGGGCGAACGTTTCAGCTGCTTACGCGCCTTTCGGCCACCGCAGCACGAGGCGCAGCATGAGCCAAACTGGATGATGAAAGCAATGAGATTGAATGCCGATGCAATCCACATGAAGGCCAACATGCGGGTGCCCAATGTAGCCTTGATGTTGAACTCGGTGCTCTGCGACATGAATACGTTTTTGAAGATGGAGAACATGACGGTGGCGACGACGGAGGCCACAATGGTGAAGAGAGCAGTGAAGAAGGTGAGGAGGAGGAAGGGGAATGAGCGCAGGAGAACGAAGGTGCGTCGGTGGTGGGGAGGGTGAGCTTGATTGACAGAGGGGTCGGGAGAGATGGTTTGCGGCGGCCGAGAGGAAACAGCGAACGGGGAGAGGAATATGAGGATGAAGGAGAGGACAGTGGAAACGAGGAAGAGGCCAAACATCCAATGAGAGGCGACACGGGCGATTTGAAGCGCATCGGTGATGTCCGCGGGGAGGGCAACTGTATCTGGTCAACAACCGTAGTAAGTCTTTTTGAGGGCATGGTACATACTGGTAGCCCCCGAAAGCAATTCGTTCAGGATAATCTCAAGAGGATTGAACCAATACATGCTCTGAGTATCGGAGCAATGCGTAATACCCTCATTGGCGTATCCTTCACAGAAATTCCATAACCCAACCTGGTAGAAATCGTGCAATCCGATGGTCCGCGCAATACTGTTGATAAGGACAGCATTGGGGACGGAGATGGGAATGATATGGGTTAAGTCGAGTTTCATGAAATAGGTATCGCGCAGAACAGGCTTATTCGAGATATTGCCTATGCAGACGAGTAGCAAGAAGATCCAAGCCAGTAGGTATAGCAGCGAGCGCAACCCTCGATGCCATAACACCGTCGAGGGTTTCCTCCCAGGACCCGACGGCTCGGGGGATGAGTTGCCTTTGCGGAAGAGTGCCATAACGATGGCCTGGGGTTTTTTATATGCAGCGGAACGGTATAAGAGATAGATAGAAGACAGAAAGAGAAAAGAGAAAAAGACAACAAGAAAGCAGATGAGTGCTGGATGGCTGGGTGGTGACGTTTAGGCGCCCACCGGCGGTGTACGGCGGATGGATCTAATCAATCAATCAGCGACTCCCTGCCCCTGGTTGATAGCGCTGTGCTACTGTCCTTGACAACCGACGATTGTGATATATATGAACAGTGAAGAGAAAGAATGAGAATAGAGAACAAAGGCAGAGATAAACTCGATCCAAGGTCAATTCCGCTGAGTCAATCTGATGCTCATTTTTCTTTATTTTTTTTGTTACGAAACATGACAATACGAGTACGAAAACACCCCTGTCTGAGTCCCCGGCGTCACGCTGTAGAAGAACCTTTGCAGTGGATCAACGTGTCGATCGAGCACTAGTGGCGACTATTTTGGCTCTAGACCCTGCCTTTCACAGCCACTCATTTCCACTTCTGGCGGAAATTGTGGCTGATCTAGTTAATCATTCCCGATCTGTACTCGATTTCTGTATCGTAATGTTTTATAACAATTTGACACTGCCCCACTACAAATGACTTTTTAATTGGTCGATGAGACCCGACGCGGCGTCAGCGATGAGAGCTGCTCCATCTTTATCTTTTTTATGGTTGGCGGAACCAAACAATTTCGGCTGCCTAAACCCGCCTCCTATCGCATTATATAATCGCTGACTGGGCGATCTTTTTTCAACATTCATCATATCTGATTACCTTTGGATTACACCTCATCACTGCTTGTGCTGCTGTTGGAGATTGAACTAGGCACTGAGAAGAGGAGAGAATATAACAAAACAGGTAGGTAGAAGTCGAAAAGAAAAAAGACCAGGGTTGGTGCTAATTTTGCCGCTGTGAAGGCGCCTGAGCCGTGGTCGAACACCTCATTAACCTCATCACCCCATCACAACTCGTCATCTCCATCATACTTCATCGTTCTCTCGGAATTATGCGGTGGACAACGCATCTTCTTCCTTTGTTCCTGGGGGCAATTCTTCCCTCGCAGGCACAAGATGGGACGCTCGCCCTCACCAATTCGGCCTTCACTCTCGAAGGGACATTGACCAGCGACGGCGAAGTGACGGTGCCTACTGGCGAATATCAGACTTATTCTTCGACAATCACGCTGTCAAACGACGGGGACCTCACTTCTGCCACCGTAACCGGATCCGGATCCAGCATGGATGTCAAATCTGCGACCGGCAATGCCTCCTCCAGTTATACGACCACATCGGATTCCGTGACAATGCTCGTCGGTGGGATGCACACCACCGTCCTGGGTAATGCCTCCGCTAGCGCAACCAATGCGACTTCCAGGCCGACTTCTACACCCGTCGTCAACACCCAGCCTTGCAATGGCTATCCAGAGTTTTGCACTAAGAAATACTCCAACATCACCATGGTGGCCGCTCATAACAGTCCGTTTGTGAAGCAGGGTAACGTGGCTGCCAATCAAGTCCTGGATGTGACAACCCAGTTGAACGATGGCATTCGGATGTGTATGTCTCTGCCACTTAGTCCCTAGTATGCAGAATATGCTGACGAAATAGTGCAATTCCAAACCCACCTGGTCAACGACACCATGTATCTCTGCCATAGCAGCTGCGACCTGCTCAACATGGGGCCTCTCGAGGATTATCTTGTTACGGTCACAGAATGGATGAAAGCGCACCCCTACGACGTGGTTACTATCCTTATGGGCAACAGTGACTATGTTTCGCCAAAATACTTCACCAAGCCCGTTGAAAACTCCGGCCTGAAAGATTTGGTCTACACGCCTCGCAAGATCCCCATGGCACTCGACGACTGGCCATCCCTGTCGGACATGATTCTGATCAACCAACGGGCAGTCATGTTCTTGGACTACCAGGCCAACCAGACTGCGGACCCGTGGCTCATGGACGAGTTCTCCCAGGTGTGGGAGACTCCATTCTCGCCTACAGACAGAGAGTTCCCCTGCACAGTCCAGCGTCCCCCTGGTCTGGCGCCGCAGGATGCCAACAACCGTTTGTACATCGCCAACCACAACCTCAACTTGGAGTTCAACTTCGGGTCTCTCAACCTGTTGATTCCCAACACTGAATTGTTGAACGAGACCAATGCTGTTTCTGGATATGGAAGTCTTGGTCGCATGGCGAACAACTGCACTAGTATGTCACTCCCCGAAAAAAAATAATTAAACCGCCGAGACTAATAATACTAGCGAACTGGAACCGTCCACCAAATTTCCTGCTGGTCGATTACTACAACTACGGCAGCTTCAACGGCTCAGTCTTTGAGGTGGCTGCCGAGATGAACAATGTGACATATAACGGTCAATGTTGCGGCACGACATCCGCAGCATCGTATTTGGCAGGTCTGAACATGATGACCATGCTCCTCGTTATTGCAGGAGTCCAGATGTTTACCCGCTACTTTTGATTTTTTTCTTTTTCTTTTTGACTTATTTTTGTTCAAGATATCTTTTCTTGTTTACAAACGATGTAATGGAGTTGGGGCTTTGCCTTTATTTTGTGATCTATGAGGGATGATTGCATTGTACAAAGCATTTAAGTATATAGTACTCGTACATAGGTTGGAATTGATACCACGTTGATAAATACCTAAGGCATAAATCCCGAACCGGCTAGCGCACTACCACCGCCCACCCGCATCATCAATTGCCCGCCTCGGCCATCATCATTCAATTCTGAACTGACCAGCGGTTCACTCAATTAACCTTTGCCTCTCAATAAACTACCAAACACCAAGATTCCAGCCCAGAGGCCTCGGGCAAAAAAAACCCCACCCCGCCAAAATGGTCGACATCGTTCCCCTAAGCAGCTACCCCTCCTACATCGACCTCCTCCCCGGCATCCAAACTTGCAACATAACCAACCTTCCCGAAAACTACTTCCTCAAATATTACCTCTACCACGCCCTCACCTGGCCGCAGCTGTCCTTTGTCGCCGTCGTCCGCCCCAAGAACGGATACACACAGAACACCGGCCGGCAGGCGGGTGGGAAGCCCGGGAGCGGGGATCTGTCGGGCCAGTATCCCAAGGTTGTTGGGTATGTGCTCGCGAAGATGGAGGAAGAGCCAACGGATGGGTTGCAGCATGGGCATATTACGAGTATTAGTGTTATGAGGACGCATCGGAGACTGGGGATTGCGGAGAGGTTGATGCGGATGAGTCGTATGTCCCCTCTCATCTCGATCTGAATGGTGGGTGCTAATTGCACAGAGCGCGCAATGGCCGAATGCTACCGCGCCAACTACGTCTCTCTACACGTCCGTGTCTCCAACAACGCCGCCCTCCGCCTCTATCGCGACACGCTCGGCTTCCAGGTCGAAAACATCGAGAGCAAGTACTACGCCGACGGCGAGGATGCGTATGCCATGCGCATGGATCTGTCGCCCATGTGGGTTGACTGGAGCGCGATTGAAAAGGCGGACCGCGAGCGCGAACAGAAGGAGAACGGGGAGGCGGCGGATGAGGGCGATGAGGTTGGGGATTTGGGGAAGAAGGATGCTGAGAAGATGGTTAAGGTGAAGATGGGGAGGGCGCTGGGTGTGGGGGATTTGGTTGAAAAGAATGAGTCGCAGGCTTAGTAGATTATCTGTTTTTCTTTTATCTTTGGGAGAGAGAAGGGGTTCACGCCTATAGATTCGTCTATTAGGTATTGCTACTCCGCAATTGAAAAGCATTGTGATATAATTGTCTCTGAATCAATTCTGCACCGAACGCCTATGTATATTGACAAAATGCATCCTCATAACCTCATGTTCCTCGCCAAATAGACCGAAATACAGCATATGCAAGTAACACTGACAACGCTTGTGAACATCCAAAAACAGATATAAAACACAATGACTCTAATCGCTGATCACTGATCATCTTTACTCTATGTATAGTAAGCATGTTTTGCTTCACCACAGATTCGGCATGAGACCTGCTTGACTCAGTCCGAGCGTCCTCATTACTTTCTCTGCTTCTCCCCCTTTTGCTCTTTACTCTGCCTTCGAGCATTACTATCTATCTGTGGCTCGTCACCAGCACGGGACTCGTTCTGCTGAATCCCCTCATGCAAGGATGCAGTACTGGGCGTACTGATAGAACTGACCTCACTAGACTCAACACTCGAAATAGATCGCGCTGTCGACGGAAACGATGCAGACGATCGAACCGTCGGCTGGCTCGCATTTTTTTTAGCCTCCTCTCTTTCCAACTCGAGATTCTGCAAGCGCTGTTCAAGAGGTAATTCTGTCGAAGGCGAATGGGAACGAGAAGAAGCATGTAGAGGGGCAAATTCCGCTTCAGCAGACCCTCTTTGCAACTGCTGGAGCCGCTGTTGCTCCTGTCGTCGACGACTACGCTTCGACCGTCGATTTTCACGCTGCTCCTCTCGTGCCCGACGCAACACGTCCCGGAAGGCCTTTTTAGTCGCACGCATTTCGTCTTTCATTGCTCGTCGTTCTGTCCAGCTGCGCTGAGCCTGGTTCCAGGATCCACCGCGGCCATCGCCGTACTGCCCCCATCCATTCCGCGAGCGTGACTGCCGGTTTGACTCTCGTATTACATCTAGGTGGCGTCGGAGGCCGACTGCAACTTCGTATAGATTGCGGTCGTGATGATCTTCTAGGGAAAGGAGTTGTGCGCGGACAGTGGCGAGATCGGAGGAACTCAGCTCTGATGTTGTGGAGAGGGAGTCGATGGATGTCAGGGATGATTCGGAAACTGCGGAAGCAATGGATAAGCTGCGAGGGCGTTGATTAGGTTGTGCGATTATGCGCTGGGTGGTGATGTTAGCGTTGTGGGCTTCGTCATCGTCCTCGACAGTAGTCGTACCGGTAGTTGAAGCAGGTGGTGCAACGGGAGTTGCAGCGGTAGCGGGAGTGGTTGGTGCAGAGGCTGGGCTAGGGTTCAAGTTCGTAATCGCGTTAGGTTGGTGATAATAATGATAAGGATAGTTGTTGTAGTAGTTGTAATATTGATAGCGTGGATCCGGTTGATAACCAGCATACGGACTTTGAGCCTTCCGCCCTGATAACCCAGCCTGTTCCTCCAACCAGCGACCATGCGCTATGGCCTGCTCTTCCACCTGTCTCCCATAATGCTCAGCATGGGCACTGAGTTTGTCGCCATATCGCTCAGCTTGCTCCGTGATGTGGGAGGCAAGGGAAGAAATCCAACCCAAGGGACCGCCTTTGGAACCACCCGAACTTGGCGACTGAGGAGGATATTGTCGATTATTCCAACCCCATGGATATGGTTGTTGGTAGTTATATGGTTGTTGTGGTTGCGGTGGATATGCATGTGCGGGATAAGCGTTGTGAGGTGCTGCCGGTGGATAGAACGCAGGTTGACTGTACGGCGCCTGCGCATAAGGTATAGGAGCCACGCCATACGGCTGGGGATATGAATGTGTACGAGGGGTATAACCATTGTTCGCCGGTGGCGTGGCAGGTTGCCCCGGAATTGCTGGAGGTGTACTCGACTGCGACGACTGCCGCCCTCGACTAAATACTGACTGCGTCCGCGAAGGTCGACTCTCCTGATTTGCCCTCGTCGCAGCAGGGTAACACTTAGGACAGAGCGAAGACGTCGGCGCATTCCCAGGGTCAGTAATATAGATAAACAAAAGCCTGGCGGCACGAGGTTCAAAAAAGCATTGATTCCACTCAGTAACCACTGCAGTAATCCGCAATTTGCGCTGCTCGTCCGTCTCCTGCGGTCTATCCTTGCGATCTCGTTGAATCTGCGCCCTCAATTGCCGCGTCAAATGCCCCGATGCAGAAGCCAGTCCCAAATTCGGAGGAAACAGATACCTCAAGAACATATCCCAGTCCTGCTGAGTTATCTCTTCGTTCCGCGAATTCCAGCATCGCGGCCGACGGGGAAAATCCTTTGCCTGACTTCGCGGATAGATGGTCAAATGGTGATGCAGGATCTCTCTGCCCTCGTCCAATATTGTAGGGGGTCGTTCGGTAAAGTATGCGACGGCCGATTCGAAGTTGGCAGGCGTGAAGCGAGAAAATGACGATGATGGGGAACCGATGAGCACACTGCTAGAGCTACTCCCCGGTGTGGCTATCGATAATGGCGAATTCCCACCGCGTAAATGCAAGTGTCCCCCATTGATACCACCCGGGACCCGGGGATTGTTTGGGTTCGGGTCGACGGCGGAGTACGGGGGAGGGGGTGCCTCTTCGGAATCCATCACGGATGTATAGGGATAGACAGTAATGAAAGCAAAAGTCAAGAAAATGTGGAAGGATAAAGGAATGGATAGGTCTCGATAGGTCAACGACCCGGCATCGCGCGATCAACAGTAAGATGACATCGGCCGACTGGGAAACGTGTGTCAACAGCTGGGAAGTCAGCGTTCCGCTCGTATAACAAAGCATCAACCACAACGAACAAGATCACAAGCATACCTTCGCACGTTAATCCACATACACAAACCGTTCACTGTTATGAGAGTAGTAGTAAGTCGAGGAGAGCCTAAAGAGGCGGAGAGACGTCGAACCGGCGGAGAAAAACCGTTGGGCGATCACGGGGCTGCCGGTCGCTGATTGGCTGTCGTGTTGTTGTACTAGCAATGAGTGCTTGTGTTGTATGATTTCTGTCTCTATGAAGTGTTTCATTGAGGGATGTTTACAAGAGTGTGCTCCTAAACGCTGTCTATGGTTACCAGTAGCAGTGCAATGAAAGAACACATCAATCCCACGCATCCCCCCATCCATCGTCCTCATCCTCGTCCTTAGGCGCCGTATCAATCTTCTTGGCTGATGCGACAACTGTCTTCGGCTTGACTGCCGGAGTATTAGTAGTGCGAGAGGCTGCTGAAGTGGTCGCTGTTTTGCCCAATCCCTTTGGCAATGGCTTCTTCGATTTGGCCTTGGACTGCGCAGCCAGCCACCCGGCAAAATCGGGCTCTCCGCCGTCATCATACGGAACAGCGGGTGGTTTGGGCGATGTTGTCAGTCTAGGCGAAGGCTTGGGTTGGGCCACAGGGCTGAAAGGATCGTCATCTTTCGATGGATGTTCTTCTTCGTCATCATCGTCCATGGCGCCCCACGCCTCAAAGACATCGTCGTCCGCTTTTCCGTGCTCCTCAAGTTTAGAGACAGGCGTTGGTTGCTCTGATACGGAACGGTTAAGTTGGGCTGCAGGACGCAGCATCATGTTGGCTGACTTCGGCTCCACCGCGGGGGTCGACGTGGTTGAACGGGGTACAGCTGCAGAATGGGCAATGTCCGACTCCGCAGGCTTACCATTGGCAGTTGATTCAATCTCACCGTTGGCTGTCGTGATCTTATTGGTGAACGATGAAATTGCCCATCCAGCCCACGAGTTGTCATTCGATGTCCCGATACGAGCTGCATTCTTGGTGCTTTCTTCCTGATCGGCCGATGGTAATGCCGTGTCGGGCATTGTGCTGGTAAATTTCCTGATGCGTTGGAGATATAGGTCGACGGTCTTGTTTGCTTGTTCTCGTATCATCCTGGAAATTGTGAGCGAGAAGTTGCCCAAAATATGAAGGTACACTTACTGTTCCTTGTCAAGAAGTACAGAGCAGACAGCAGGTAAAATTTTAGTCGCACAGTCTTCCTCCGTAAAGTAATCCATTGTTGCGCCCAATGCCATCAGACCGGCATTTCGACCATGAACAAAAGGATCCCGGATGGCTCTTGAAAATGCCGCGATGAGGACTTTCGATCTCGACTACACCAACATATTAGCATCTCCAAACTAACATTAGAATAAAGATTGCTTACACCCTGACCCAGGTTCTTGGCGATTTTCCCCAGACAAATGGTAGTATTTGTCCGAATCCCAGGTTGTTCATCGTTGGCCGTTCGCGCCAGGAACTTGAGCAAGTCTCCATTGATCGTACGGTCACTCAGCTTGTTTATTACCGTCAGCACAGCCTTGACGGTCTGTTCTCGGACAACAGGCGCGACATCCGTGAAACCAGAAGTCTAGAGAACAATCAGCATTAAACTTTACAATGCAAGAAACACCAGATTCCTCACCATTGGAGGGAAGATCCTGTCATTGACAACCTTCTGGGGGAGGTTTTCAATCATCAAAGGTAGATGGTCCAGCAGACAGACCCGGAGAGCTCGATCAGGGTTTCCAAACAACCGGACAATGGCTGGCGTCAATTTGGAATTGAATTCTTCTGGTGATAGTTTTGATCCAATTTTCAGAATAGCCCCAAGGACTTTGGGACCACCACCGCCAAACTCGACCGATTTCAGCAACTCCGGCAGTACTTTCATCTTGAAGAACTCTTCTGGGAAGTCTTCCGAGAGCTCATCCAATTCGCTATCCAAGTCAATACCACTGGATCACCCGAATCGAGGGACAAAGGTAAGACATACTTGATAAATTCCTCCCGCTCGGCGTCATTCTTAAGACCCAGAGACTCAATATCATCTGTTAACCGGATCAGAGGTGTCTGAAAGAACCCTCCGCTCTTCTTGCCTTGCTCGACGAAGTGTGCCGGGCTCAGACGGATTTTCGGATTAGCGGCGCAAAGACGCTTGTAGCTCTGCTGCATGCTAGGTGGAATATTCGTCGTCTTGCCAATTTGGTCCCCTCCCGAAAAACCGCCATTAAAGACCTCGAACGCCAGAATACCGAGTCCATAGGAATCAACAGCGGCTAACGGATGACGCTTGATAACATCCCAGCCACCTTTAAAAACTTCCGGGGGCGTATAACGAGCCGCATCGGGGACGATACTGCCATATGTCTATCGCTTGTCAGCCACGCTTGATTCTTGTTCGTAAGATAGATGACCAACATAGATAATCGCATCCTCATCACTCATTGAACTAAGGATTTCAAATCCTCCTAGTTTCCATTCTCCGCTTTCGCTTGCGAATACCGACGCGGCCCTGATGGCGCCGTGAACTGACGAAGCGTCTTCGTTGATAAATTTGATCGTGGACTGAAACCAGATTAATCAGCCTCGCACCTAGACAGTACGTAGTCGTATATCAAAGTAACGTACCGACACAGTATGTAATCCCCATTTTGTCGTCTCTTCGCTCAGACTCCTCCGTTTCACATACCAGGATAGAGGGACAACCCGCTCGGTCACGATATAGATACTAGTCTCCGTCTAGACATTGTAAGTATTGCGCCGCTGCATTTGCATAAAACCGGTCCAAGTACCTCAATTGTGTCTATCACTCTAATAATACCGGGGTGTCTCAATGTTCTCGACTTCCGCATCGCGTTCTTCGCTAACGGCAGCCGGGACTTATTTGAAGCGATATCGAAGGTGAAGATACTGCATGGCGAGCCATCCTCCTAGACATCATAGACAATATGCTTTAGCCTCATATTCCGTGGCAAATAATGAAAACGCCAAATGTCCTAATTGCATGCATACCCGTTTCGTCGCATTATGGAGGGCCCAGATCGAATCGCCAATATCGACTCTGTCGCCAAGCGAATATGGAAACGAACTGCCCTTGGCGATTGCAGACGCGACGGCGGATTTGAGAAAATCCATAGCGCTGAGACGAACGATATCGTTTTAACGGCGAGAGAAAGCGTAGGGTGACGGACAAGCAGGTTCTGGCGCTGGAATGGCAACGCAGGCCAGGATGCAGGATAATCTCCGGTTGGGACCTATAGGGCAGTTTTTTCTCTGCGTTGGAAGGAGTTATATTAGGTATTAAACGAAAGAGAGACCAGCTCGACCAATTCGGGGCAGTAGAGGGAATGGTTACCTGCCTGTACTCGTCGGGCGGACAGCAATAATGCCCGGCCCCGATTCGGTCTAGGGCCTCCGCCTAGAGCTCCATATCTTACCACCGAACAGCAAACACTCTTTCGACAAACACTTCAAAATATTCATACCCTCCTAAATCTCATGATAATGCTCCGAGCCTCTTTTCCATATAGAGCTAACCCCATTAACATAGCCAGCTGACAGATAGCTACGCGTTAAAAGCAAATCTCTAGGTACGCGCCCCAGCTTCTCTCTTCGCTACAAAAAAAAAAAAAAAAAAAAAAAAAAAAAAGGAAAAGCATCACATCTCCAATGATGACCCAATGGTAAAAGGTCAGACCGCGCAAACCTCCCAAACCCGCGAATTGCATACATCCCGAAGCGTATTCTTCCCCTTCCAGCGCGAAACTGAGACCGACAGCAAAATCCCCTCCCTCAAACACTGAACCAGAAAGATATCTCGTCACCGGTCTTCAATATCCGTGATGATTCTTCTGTCTTGTCTCTTCGCGAATTTGGATCTCTCTTCTACGCTCCTCATCCATAGCCTCAAAACAGGCTGGCAGATACATGCTTTTACCGTAAAAGGCACATGGTCGAAGTCGCAAGACCCACGGCACCTGGCCTTGGAAAGACATGAATACATCAATCAAATACTTGACATCAGCCGTTATCTGGGGTTCCTTGTTCCACTGCGCTTCCATGAGGAGATCACAGGAACTAATGGCCACGGCGGACATGGTTGCGCGTTACAAAAGTGGTCGTCATGAAATTGCCGGACGAGCAGGACAAAAGAGAGTGAAGAGGGAACGAGAGATTAAGGCAGAAGGCTGTCGACTGTTGTTGAGACCGGTGCGGGATTGGCTGGTTTTGGTGCCGGGGGCTACGGTGGACTTTGTGTTTGGTCTTGGGCTGGGAAGAACGAGTACCGCGGTTGCGACTTCGTCTTTGGGGGTGCTGGATGATGCCTAAATATAAACTGAAAAGACCTGAGGAGATGCTGCTTTTCTTATCGTGTTTGCCACACAACGTTTACGGTTGGTTGAGCTTATAAACTAATGATGTTGACAGAACCCTACTATAAACGATCATGTTAGCTCTACGATGGAGGATTTTTGTGACAATAGAAGGTTGTTGATGGCCATCTATATTACATATCCACTATCTATCACAATTGAACATTCCCTTCCATCCCTCGATTTGGGCAGAAGAGGGCAAAAAGATGCTTGTGATTGATGAGAAGATCAGGTTGAGGGAGGATTCAAGAAGCTTTATATCTCAATGGCATGGATCGAGCATGGGATATACAGGCAGTGGCTCTCTTTGACATTGGCAGCCGTTACCTTTTGGCAGGAAGTTGCTTGTAACTTCTACTACCACACGGGCGGGTTTGATGTCTTATAAAATGGATGAAGAAAATTGAATATGTATATGGTGCCATTGACTATCTTCATTGATACGTATGGCCTTTGCGTAAGACATGAAAATCTGAGTCTCATCGGACAGATAGATTCGGAAATTCAGTCGCAGGTTTCCGACCGAGCATGGCCTCGCAACTCCATGGCAACTCATCCCCAGCTATATTGGCGCCTCAATTCGGCATATACAAACCTCGCTTCCCCATGCGCTACCAACTGTCGGATGAGACATAAGGCTCGTTCACCTGGAAGGAAGTCAGCATTGACCATTTACAAATCGGCATCCTTGTGCAATGTACCGGCAATATTGTTGATAACTCACCAACCTCCCCTGATATAGAGACCACTGTAAAACGAAATTCAAGACACATGAAAGCCTCAAACACAAATCAAGCCTTTGAGCCAAAATTGTTGAAGTTGCCAATTGTGAACAAAACCCCTGGTCGAATCCCTGCAAAGCCCCAGCGCGCGGAAACCAAAATGTGGAAGACATCTTGTTAGTGTTGAAGATTGCCGCGGCGGCGAGTCTTGTGACCAAATCTCGAAATTCATTTCACTTCGCTCTCAACAGCTTCGGGAGGATGGGATGCGGCTGGCGGTGGTTGAGACGGGGGCACTTGAGGCGCCATTTGCGGCACCTGGTTGTAGCCGCTACTAGGGGTCCGATGCTGGTGAGGGGGGTAATGATGCGCTTGACGAGGGCTCGACTGGAAGTGCGGTTGCTGTTGGGGGTAATTCCCGCGCACCGGAGGCATGTGCCCTGCCTGTTGAGCAGGATACATAGGTTGCCCCGGTTGTCCAGGTGTCATGAACATGGCGGGTTGGGGCGGCTGACCGGATTGAGAATTCTGATGCATCATCATGGGAGCACCCCGGCCAGGGCTCGGGAATCCACTATGAGGCTGAGGAGGCGCATGTTGAGGATAAGTCTGACCGGGGTTGGGTGAATACATCTGCATTTGAGGATTGTAAGGGGGAACCCCCATATAAGGACCGCCGGAAGGTTGCTGGACCATCATGGGTGCTGCCATAGCTCCCTGTGGATTGACGAACTGTGGGGCACCCGGGTAGTGCCTCATGTGAGGGGGCGGAGGCGCCCCCTGATTCATGTAAAATTGAGGCATGGGCTGCTGGAACGCCAGCTGCGCATGCGGGGCCAGAGGAGATGGATAAGCGACGTGGTTGTGCTGTAGTCTGGGGGATGGGAACATTTGTGAGGTCGAAGACGACAACTGCATACGATGAGGATCGTCGAAATGAGGAGGCACGGAGTGGTGTTGTTGAGGATGAAGATGGGGTCCGTGTGGTGGGCCAGATACCGGGGGCATACCCGGAGCCGCTTGCTGGAATGGGAATGGCATCTGAGGTTGATGAGGCAGCTGAGGGTTGGAGCCGGCACGGTGCTGAGGGAACATGCCCGGCACGGTGGCCGGCGGCTTGAACATTTGCAAGTAAGTCTTTTCATTATTGCCGGCAGGGGGGTCCCAGGTTGGCATAGTCCTATAAGCCGGAGGAATGCCACCGTTAAAGGATAATTTGTCCGCCTGCTCGGCAGTCTCTTTCTTCATCCGTTTAATGGGGTTAAATTGATCGTTAAGAGATGGCCGTTCGGTAATGGAACGGGGCTTTTTCGTTCCGAAGAAAACAGACGGGCTTGCGGCGCGAGAGATGGAGCGGCCTCTGAAGGCAGGCTGCGGACTTGCTGCAGCGCCAGGAGTGAACGAGCTCGCAGCCGGGTTAGGCTTGAACTCCATAGCCCTGACATTGAACTTCGTAGATCCTGGTGTCTTGTTCGGGCTGCTGACACCGGATCGCTCGCCAGCAGGGCCCGAGGGAGGCAGACGGGCATCCTGAATGGGCAAGGGTGCCGGGACAGGTCCCACGGCGGCTCCCTTTCGCTGCTGTAGGTTGTCTGCGAGACGGTGGCTGAGCATGCCGGTGCCCGGGCGGCCCGGTTGCGGTGCTTGATTCTGGAATCGCCCACCTGGTCCAGCGTTGGGTCCTGTGGGAGGATACATCTGGCGGCCACGGTTGAGATTCGATTGCGCCTGCGGAGGCACTGCTCCACTCGCAGGACCTGGGCCACGAGGTGGCGCGGGCTTTTGGTCAGCTGTGACTGGAGTGGCCCTACTACTGGCCGTTTTTTCGTCTTCATTTGGCACCTGAGCTCGGTTGATAATCAGCTCCTGCTTGTTAGGGTCTTTTGCGAGAATGGGCACCAGGTCCTTCGGGACCGGGGTAGCAAGTTTGAAATTCTTTGAGAACTTCATTAGTTCATTCAACTTGACATTACGATCATAAGAAACCTGGTTCCGGCGGCGCTCCTGCATTTTTAGTTTCTCATTGTTGGCAAATTGCCGGAAGTGGTCTAGCACCTCGGCTTCCACGTTGGCAGTAGCGTTGTCCGCCGCCCGTTTTGGCGCTGGCGCAGGAGTCGTTGTTGCGACAGCCTTGTCGGGAACGGACTTCTGCTGCGTGTCAGTGGTCGCTTTAGCTGGTGCGGTCGACGGTCCTGGCTGGGGTTTAGGAGGTGCCTGTTCCTTAGCCTGTGTTGGAACCGGGGCCGCTGGCTGCTTCGAGGGCGTACCGGCAGTCGTAGCGGGTTGCTGAGCGGCAGCGGCAGCAGCAGCTTGTCGCCGCGCCGGCGGAGTGTACTTGTTCGGCTGCCCAGACACGAGAGGTGGGAAATTCTTCTCATCGCGACGAACGCCGCTGTACTTCTCCTCCTCATCCTCGGCTACACCCTGAGCCGGTGCCAATCCTCTTTCTTCCCTGAGATGAGGATTGTCCGTGTCGGCGCCTTCAATTTCACGAGCAATACGAGCGGCCTCGGCCTCCTTCCGCTTATAGGCTGGGTCGGAACGGTCGATTGTGGTAGTATAGTAGGTTTCATCGTAATTACTCGTGGCACCAAAAAGGCGCTCATTGGCTTCAAACTGATCCCAACCTGTCGTGTTAGTCGCAGTTTCAAGGGGCGCCTCGATATCATCTGCCGCCGGCTCCCAACGCTTCAAGGTGCGCTCACGGGTCGCGAGGTTTCCAGAAATATCGGAATCAGTTCTAAAGCCAGCGGAAGCTCCTGCTAGAAGTGTCAGCACGCAAAAAGAGATAAGTGAAAGATCTGGTCCCGCATACCCTTCGATGTTTTTGTTGTGACATCAGCTGGCGACACGTCTGCTACAGAGATATCCAACACATCCTTGGCATCAAAAACCATGCTGTGCTCGGGAGGCGAGCCCAAGAAAGGAGCAGCAACATCGCTGACTCCGTTGGATCGCGATTGATCAGGTTTGGATCGTTGCACCATCTTGAGCACAAAGGACGATTCGCTTGCTTCAAGGGTCGAAGAGGAGAAGATGCCGGTAAATTTCTCACCGTTCTTAGTGGTGACAACAGCCTTCAAACCCTAAGAACCAGTTAGCTCCTGCAGTCCTGCGGAACACATGTTATGCGGGGTCAGCTCACAATGAAGCTGGTAACCAAGAAAATCAAGCGGTCATGTGCATGGTTGTCCGAGGTGTTGGTCTCCTTGGGCGTCTTAGTAGGAGCAGATTGTTTTTGATGAGCCATGTTGCCGTTTTGTTGCGAGTATTTTTGGGTGATGGGGTTCGTTCCCTGGGTCCAAGCTTTCTGGGAGCTGCTACGTCTGTGGGAGAAGCACCGTGTTAACCAACCGCACACATCAACCATGATTCGACACAATCAACGATTTAACATAGAGATATGAAGATCGATGATTTAACATGCTCCGTAGCTAGTTTCTTTCGAAACTAAAGACCAGCGGTGTATTGCGATGACGCCAAAAACCCAACAGAGCGAGCAAGAGAGAAATAGAGAAAGTGACGGGAATCGAGTTATCGACAAATATAGAAGAAGCAAAAAAGGACAACGTACCTCGGGCCGCCATCAACAGGGGAGGGTCGTCGATTATCGGGCACTCTGGTGCTAGCGCTGGGCCTCAACGAGGCTCTGCCAGTGGGATTCTGCGACGAAGCATTACCCGATGCGTTGTTGCCAGTAGACGCGGAGTTGACGGTGGAAGCCATCAGGCTTAGTAGTCGTCAATCGAAACGATCTCACGTCGTGGAACCGTACACGACGCAAGCTTTGTGCAATGTCGAGGGGGGTTTAAAATGAGGACTGAGGCGCAAAGGCCACACAAGAGACAGCCGCCCACACGCAATAAAACGCACACCGCCTAGGCTCACCGAAGCCTAGTGTTTGAATTGGGATATGGAAAGGAAGGAGAGAAGATCGAGGGGGCCGGATCAGACGACGAGTAATACACTGGCGATGGAATTGAAGGGCGATAGAGGGAGCAGGAGATCGGGTATGTGGATCAGTGTCGATAAAGAGAGAGCGGAGGGGACGAAGGGGGTTTCAGAGCGGGCAGATCCAACTGACTGTCCGCAACAAGAAGAGAGAGGAGAGAAAGCAAAATGCAAGAAGAAAAGAAGCAAAAAGAATCGTAGTCAGTCGTTGACTTGTCGTGGTCAGGAGAGACGAAGAGATCAGGTAAAGAGGTGTTGTTGGAGGTAGTGTGGAGGAGTGATGAGGACTGGTTCGGGAGGGTCTGGTCACGGGAGTGGAGCTATACCTAGTAGTAGTAACTTCGTAGACTCAGGTACTCTACTACCTACAGTTACATAGTGCATTATTTAAGAAACATCAATTCGATTGTGCCGTGTCATTATGTGCTTATAATGCCATAAATAGAGTCAAAGTGTCCAACTCTACAGCACTCCATCCATACTGAAGATTACGGAGTAGACGCTGAGTTTGAGACGTCCAAATGCGCTCAATCTACTTGGTAGTCAGTGTGCTTCCCATAATGACCTAATAGCACTGGTCACAATGGGACGGGCTAGTCTGAAAGAATTCTTCATTGAAATTAGATAGCAGGTACAGAGGTATACATGATATTGAGTAGAATGTTTGTAAATTTGTAGACTTCGGGCACTATATAAGAAACCATCATTCTCCCTCATAATTCCCCATAATCCATATTTAACACTAATACCCGGAACAGGTGCTTACACGGTATTTAGTGCTGGTTATTCTTCGGATGATCTTCAGCAGCAAGGTATTGGCAACCAACTCAAATGTACCAGAGACATACCGCATCTTCGAGATGATCAGGGATGAAAGACTGGAGCACTGGGCACTGGGCCAAGTCAGAGTAGGGATGATCTCTGCATACGGAGACATGACTGGCTATTGACAGCCCTAGGAGTCTTCGCATAGCTTAGGCTTTTTAATTGCCACGAGCTGTCGGATTGATACTCGCTGTATTCCGTATCGTGCGGTATGTATTGATGCTCACGTGATATATACAGATCGTTAGGATCCTTTATGCAGCTAGCGTTACTCGTAGATAAAGATTTTCTTGAGGTAACCATATCTATACTGTAGGCACAGAGTTGTAATGCTGGACATCGGGGAGCCGAGGCACCCCGCCACACACTAACAAGCAGTAATAGACATATCACTTCCCCAAAGAAGATTGCATAGAAGCTAAAAAAAGTCTCTATAATAATCTTATCTGTACCCCAGAGTAAAACATGTAGCAATTGAAACAAAGACAAAGATCAAACAAAAGTCAGAACAAAAGGCGGAGGCTGGCAGTGGACATGTGACCGGCGGAGTAGCCACCAGATGTTGGCCCAATTCGAAGTTCACTTCTACTATCACCACCACCACTAGTACAGCTCTGGCTTGTTTCGGGCTTTCTGACAAGCAGGAATCTTGAGTCAGTAGAAAAGAGGCTGGTGACTCTGTACTTTTTCCCGTTTCTTCTTGTTTCTTTCTTTCCTTCCTGGGATGCAATATTAATTTGCGCCCCCCTACCTGGTCTCTGCGAGCTGATCGTTTTTTTTTTTTTTATAACCTTCTTTTTCTCACTGTCTAGTTTTTCTAATCCTTTCTAATCGGAATCTATTCTTATTTCTCTGTCGTTTTTACTTGATCAGCCCTATACATGCGCTCCTCATCCTCTCGTTCCCAGCGTCCGCATCCCACCGGAAGTCCTGGCCCATCACGAAGCCCGCCTCCCCAACACTTTTCGACCGGTTCGGGGAGCAGTGTCGAGACGGCCATGACGTCCCAGTCTTCCGCGCCTCGCAGTTCGTCGTCGAGTTCGTCCAGATCCCAGCAGTCGAGAACAATCGTGGTAAGTTCTGAAGAGTGGCTGGACAGGCGGTCCACGTTCGTTCCGAGGGTTCCGTGCTGATGATGTTTACTTTTTCCTGTATGAACAGCCCGATAAACAGATTTCCCAAATCGAAAAAAGCGTGACCCATCTTCTAGTTGCAACCAAGCAATTACTGGAAACCCTTACACAATGGTCCCGGAGACAAGCCTCGGAGAACGAGGTTTCTGACGTCTACGTGCGTCTGGGATACGAGTTCAACCTGGCATGCCGTGCGTTCAATGCAATCGGCGTTGATACATCTGATCTGGGCCCCGTGCCAGACCTGCTCCGTACCATACTCGAAGATACCCTCAGTCAGGACGCATCGCCACAAAGCCTCGATCGTTATCTTCCACGGATTCGGGACATCATTATAAATCTACTGCATGGGCTGAAAAAAAAACAAGCTCGTTTACGATCGCGGCAGCAAAGAGACGACAGTAGGTCGTCTTCGGGACGGCAAGGCAGTTCAACTGGGCAGACGGCTGTTATGAATCAGGCGTATGAGGAGGCCACAACGACGGCCACCTCCCCCAGATCAAGAACTGGGCGTCGTCATGGAAGCAATGGTTCTGCCGAAGACTCGTCTACCATGCCTCGAACGAGTTCAGCTGGACACGGCGAATTGCGAGGGACAAGCTATTCCGAACGGGAAGCTTCCAGGCAGGAGGCCCAGCACATCCTGTCCCAATCGTCGGCCCCGGAAGATGTGATTCTCAAGCAGGTCACTCCGGCTCCGGCTCCGGCTCCGGCTCCGGCTCCGGCATTGTCGTCCCAAACCCCTTCCCCCTACCCAGCTCCACCCCCGACACCGAAACAAGATGACGCTTTGGGGGCTCTTCAACGAAGTGGCGAGTTGGAACGACGTGCATCTCGGCGGTTTTCAGCATACCAAATTCAAAAGCACTTGGGTACGTCTTCCAATGGAGTGCCTATGCTTCCGACCCAAACGACGCCCATTCCGAACCGAGGTCGTGATGTCCGTGAGTCCTTGAACGCTGTGCGGTTACGAGGATCAACCGCCCATGGAATACAAAAGTCATCAAATCGCCTGCAAGATCCGTCTTCTGCCAAGAGTACTCCGTCGGAAACACCAGTAACCAATACTCCTGCGGCTGAGGATGAGCCCAACAAAACCCGGGCAGAGCCTTCTCCTGATCCAGCGACTGCCAGGACCGAGACCCCGGATGACAAGAAGAGTCCTACACCTGAACCTGATACGTTGAATAAGCCCGCAGTTGCAGGACCATCTCTGGAATTCCCACATCCTCCAGAGCCTTCTCTTGGCGAGGCGTTTGAACCTACAAAAGGTTCCAGCGCTGAGTCGGCTGCTGCTCCCGGGACACCGACGTCCGGTGAACGACGGCCTTCGACAGAGATTTCCACGCCGCCTCGCGGCACTCAATACGTTTCTGACCAGCCCTCTCCCGGAAAGGAACTGACTTTGTTCTTACAGTACAAGAGCAAGATTAAGAAGTATGTCTTGCCCGAAGGTCCCAGTGGTCTCACGATTGGAAGACTTCAGCTAGCTTTCATTGAGAAGTTTGCCTGGAACACACACAACAATGGAGTGGACCTTCCAGAAATCTACATCCAAGACCCAGTCTCGGGAGTCCGGCATGAATTGGAAGACCTGGTGGACGTCAAGGATCGATCGGTGCTAGTGTTGAACGTGGATACGCTTGATGAAGTCCGAAGGCATTTTGACGATGGCCTCGGTGGTGTCCGACGCTTGGTCGAGGGTATTAAAGGAACTTTAGATGGACATGAGACTATGATGCAGCGTGTGTCAGATCGTCAATTGGAGGCGGCCAAAGAGATGGCCCGTCTGGCGGCTGCACCTCCTGTCCAGGTTTCCGGCTCCCCGAAGGCCGTTGTTGGGACTCAGAAGGGCAATATCTCGGCTGACAGTGGTCAGCTTGCGGAACTTCAAAGCTTGCGTCGGGATCTGGCCGTTCTGCGCCAAACGTACGCCGATTTTAGCTCTGACATCAACAGTTCGATGAGTTCGATTCGCTCTAAGGCTGGCAGCGTCAAGAGCGCTGCGGCAGATGTTGCTGTCCCATCATTTGAGGGAGATGCGGGCCGCTTTCGTATCAATTCCGGGAAGAAGGAGCTTGCTGATGAATCTGAGCGATTGGTGTCGCGTGTGGACGACCTTCAGGATCTGGTTGAAGACCTCCGCAAGGATGTCGTCACTCGCGGTGTGCGTCCACTGCCCAGGCAGCTGGAGACTGTTAGCAAGGACATCGCTGCAGTTACCACGGAGATGAAGAAGATGCAAGAGTTCCTGAAGCGTGAGAAGCCGATCTGGACCAAGATTTGGGAGAAAGAGCTCCAGATGGTTTGTGAAGAGCGTGACCAGCTTACCATGCAAGAAGATCTCGCGGCCGACTTGCAAGATGACCTCGAGAAAGCTTCGCAGACGTTTGCACTGGTCGAACAGGCGACGAAACAACAGGCCATGTCGAATGAGACTCCTAACGGCGTCACCTTGCGGCCCACAGGGCGGAACCTGGCCATTGATCCGACAGCCGACCCACTCAAGGCAAAGGATGGTGTCCTAGGCGAAGTCCGTGCCCTGCAACCGAACCACGAATCTCGTCTCGAAGCCATTGAACGGGCAGAAAAGGCACGACAAAAGGAGCTGGAAACCCGCCGCATCGGCAAATTCCAGAAAGAACTGGGTGCATTTGTCGAGCAAGGAAAGCTGAAGAAGAGCGGTGGTGTGGAGGAGACGGAGAGACTCCGTCGGGCCAAGGATGACCGCGTGCGCAAAGATGTTTGGGAGCGCATACAGGCTCGAGCGGCGGATATGGAGAAGGCTGAGGCTGAGGCTGAAGCTGCGAAGGCTGCTGCAAAGGCATCTGGAGAAGGCGAGGCTGAGCAGACAGAAGATTCGACCGACGATGCTGAGAAGCCCGCAGAGGATGACAAGGATGCTAAAGAGGGAGAAGAGGTGGACGAGAAGGCCAAGGAATCGGACGATGAGGGCAAGGGCAAAGACGAGGCTGCAAAGGATGATACTGCTTAAGTATGCGCCATCCTTGGAGTGTCTTAGGCTCGACTGGCATTACTTTTGAATTGAAACCGGTGGTCTATTATCATTTAGTGTGTTGACGATACCCGCCACAAGTTGCTGTGGCCTGTTATGTGGGATGGATCACCGTCCCTTTATTTATGTTTATCATTGGAAATATTCTAGCATCAGAGCGTTGTTACATTGGCATTATTTGAATTTATTGTGGTTTCGATATTTATTTCCATCTATCGTGTACTTTGTAGACTGATCGATATTTATATCCCAGGCGGTGAAAACAGTGCCCAACCAGCCATCGCATTTCAGCCACCAGTCACCAAGACAACAACAATCAACCAATGAATCTCCAGGCAAACCAAAATGGATCCTCCCAAACGAGACTCTTATTTAAACTCACGATCAGCACGATGATCTCCCTTTCCTTACTACAGTTCAGTAATTAAGCCTATGCTACCCGTACAAGACCAGCATTATGCGCCTCATACACACTCTGGCAATACTCTCGCTTTTCTCAGAGACCTCGCTCGCAGAAGATAATCATCACGAAGGTGTACGAATCCAGCAACACAATGTCAACGAGAAAGCGATCCGCGGAGTGAAGAAGATGAGCAGTGACGAGGGCGAGAAGTTCTTCCCGGATTATTGGTCTTACGATGGCTCCGATGGGTTATCGGTGGGTAACCACACCGACATCGATGACAATGACAAGCTCCAACCAAGATTCTACCCATTCCAACCAGCGTCTAACAACCTAGTACGGGGCTTCTCCCTCTTCCAACGAGACTTCCAATGTCCAGCTGGCACCACCAGTTGCACATCCATCGACCGCCCGAGCAGCTGCTGCACAACCGGAGATACCTGCGAGTTAGTCCAAGACACGGGGTCTGGGGATGTGGGCTGTTGTCCGCAGGGACAGACATGCTCTGGGGTCATTGGGTCGTGCCAGTCGGGATACACGGCGTGTCCGGCGAAGCTAGGAGGGGGGTGCTGTATTCCGGGATATGAGTGTGTTGATGGTGGCTGTATGTTCCGCTTATGCTTCCCGTTCGCAACTGAGTCCGTATAGCTAACAGTCGGTTTGTTGTCTAGGTGCCTATGTATCCACTGTGACGGTTACTGTCCATTCGACGGTGTTTGTGTCTACGAAGACATATACGACCCCTGTGTCTAGCTATGTGCCTAGCAGTACAAGCACCGCCAGCAAGAGTTCCGACGACCTCGTACCCCCGGCCCGACCAACCAGCCTTTCAACAGCTACAACCTCCAAATCATCCAGCGAAACAGGCTCAATCTGCCCGATCGGATTCTACGCCTGCTCAGCCGTGTATCAAGGTGGATGCTGTCGCACTGGTCGAGACTGCGATACAACCTCCTGCCCGATGATGTCCTCGACGGCAGTGGTGTCCAACAACGACGAGACCATCGTGGCGCCGGCTGTCAGTACTGATTCCGCGACGTGCGCGGGTGGGTGGTTTGGCTGTGGTGATAGTATGGGCGGGGGATGTTGTCCGACTGGTTTCGCGTGCGGCTCGGCTAGTTGTACTGCTTCTACTGGAGAGAGTGTAACTGCGACGGGGACTGTTGCGAAAGAGACTGGAGGTGGTAGTGGGAGGGTTGTGGATGGGAGAATGCTGTTGATTGTAGCAGTTATGTTAGTGGTGACGCTCTCATGATGATTGATTGTACGTATGTATTCACTAATATAATCATCGTATACTCTGTATTATGTACTCCGGAAAATGGCCTGTTTGTATACTACCCACTTCGGTAAGTCTCCATGCGGGGGGGGGCACTTTTCCGGATTGGGCGAGATTCGGGTGTTTTGCCGGTGAGCTTCTCCGAGCGTCAGTCACTGCCCTCTTCTCTCCTCTTCCAGTCTCCTCTTCTTTCTCTTCTTTCTCTCTCTACCCTTCTCTCTTCCTCTCCCACTACCCCGCATCACTGTCTTTGGTCAATTGTTTCTGTCCCCTGCCATGTCCCAAAATACAACCCAGAAGCCGCTCCCCTTCGGCTACCAGTTCGCTGCTGGTGCTGTTGCCGGTGTGTCGGAGGTATGCTTCCATTCTAGACTCCCATTCCCTGTTCAGGGTTCTGAGACCAGTTGCTGATTCTCATACGCTCGTAGATTCTTATCATGTATGTGCGATTAATAATTCCTTATCACGCGGCGATATCGGCATGGTAATCGGATTCGGGATCGGACGCATTGGCTAACATGTGAACAGGTACCCGTTGGATGTGGTCAAGACAAGAGTGTAAGTCAACTGGGTACTATTATGTTTGATGCGCGTTCTAATTGAAGGCAGTCAGCTCCAGACCAACGTCGCCGCTGCAAGCGAAGAGGGATACAATGGCATGTTTGATTGCTTCCGCAAAATCATCAAGAATGAGGGGTACGCACTCTACAAATAACGAGGATGAAAAGAAGAAGTACTGAAGAAACAGCCCCTCTCGCCTATACCGCGGAATCTCCGCCCCCATCCTAATGGAAGCCCCCAAGCGCGCCACCAAATTCGCCGCCAACGACAGCTGGGGCTCCTTCTACCGCAACCTCTTCGGCGCCGAGAAACAAACTCAATCCCTCGCAACTCTAACCGGTGCCACCGCAGGAGCCACAGAAGCCTTCGTCGTGGTTCCTTTCGAACTCGTCAAGATCCGTCTGCAAGACCGCGCCTCGGCCGGTAAATATAACGGCATGTTCGATGTAGTCAAGAAGATCGTCGCGACCGAGGGCCCCCTGGCCATGTATAACGGCCTCGAGTCTACTTTGTGGCGCCACATCCTGTGGAATGGAGGATACTTCGGCTGTATTTTCCAGGTGCGCGCACAGCTGCCCCAGGCTGAGCCTGGTAACAAGGCGCAGCAGACCCGCAACGATCTGATCGCTGGTTCTATCGGTGGTATCATGGGTACTGTGCTGAACACGCCCATGGATGTTGTCAAGTCGCGCATCCAGAACACCTCCAAGGTTGCCGGACAGGTGCCCAAGTACAACTGGGCGTGGCCTGCTATTGCGACTGTGATGAAGGAGGAGGGTTTCGGTGCATTGTATAAGGGATTTACCCCTAAGGTGCTGCGTCTAGGTCCTGGTGGTGGTATTTTGTTGGTTGTGTTTACTGGTGTTATGGACTTCTTCCGTAAGATGCGGGGAGAGTAAGTGCACTTGCGGTAAAATAAAAAGGAATGTGAATGAAAAGGATATGCAGATACCCTTATGGCCGGGTGATGATAAAAATAAACGGAGGAACTTGGATATGCGATGCAATTGATCTGATTTGATACTTATATCTATGAAGTAGCCTTAGTTCATTTCCTGTCTTCGTGGGTTGAGATACAATGGAAGTTGAAATGTAGGAAGTTGTAGAAAGTGGTGTATTTCAATGGACTGGTAGCCAAGTAAACAAATTTATATAGATGTGAACCATGCATACCTGTCGAAACAGTGGACAATGAAAAATAACATTCAAGCACTCGCATAAATCGTATACCAATTAATATCCCAAATGGGATTCAAGAAAAACAAAGAAACACGAGTGGGTAGTAACAAACCGCAAAAGCAAAAGCAAAAAAAAAAAAAACAGGGGGTATCGACGTAAACCATGGAACATAAAAGCATGCAAAACAAAGAAAAAGAAGATATTAAACCCGAGGACGAGAGTAATGCATAAATGTCGTTGTAGAGGCATAAACCTAATGGAGAGAGGAAATTCGCCGGAGCGTTACCATCGTCATCATCATTCTCGAACAGACTGACTGTCATGATAAACCATTCGAAAGCATTAAGATGGGACAAGAAACATCAAATAAGCAAAATAAAAGCCCAACAGAACAAGCGCATAACCCATGTACCCCTGTACAACAAAAGAAAACGACAATCCCAGGTAAGCAACCGCGTAATCTCGAAGAGAAAAAGAACGAATGTGACATTTGGACATATGTCACCTGTACGCCGGTCAAATTTTTATGACCCCCGTTTGACGCCTTGTATGCAATATGCATCATGTCTTGACATGCACTTGTAGATCAGCCTAGCTGAAATTACAGAGATGGTCTGGTCTAGTTCATCTCCATTGCGTACTCGTCTTCTTCCTTGAAGCTCATCCCAGCATGGCCTGAGCTGTTCCAGTATTGCGCTTGGCCGGGGCCTGTACTCGGGGCGCTGCTGGCACCGCTGTTGTATGACGGGCTCAAGCTTTGGGGACTGAGAGCACCGGGTCCGGACACGGCGTCGCCCGCAAAATTCGTGTGCTTGGGCACCCGAAGGCCACTACCGGGGCCTCTAGTGTAGCTGAATGAGCTAGGGTCGTTGCGTTCCAAGGCTTCGAGGATCTCGCTGCGCATCCGCTTCTCTTCTTCAGTTTGCTCAAACGGCCAGGTTCCGCCGAGACTAGTGATCAGTTCGGCCAGCTCCGACTCCTGCTGCATCTTGACGTGCATGGACCACATCAGGTCTCTCATCCAACTCACAGCACCGTTCAAAATATCGCCTTTGTTCGGTCCCTTCTCCTTCTCCTCAATGGGCAAGCCCATCGTAATGTTGCCTGCAGTGGCCCGGCGACCATTGCCGCCGGCAAGGAGCGAAGTGGCAGCGTTCGTGCTACTACCCGATGGAGACATAGTGTTGTTGACCAGTTGCTTCCTGACCTTGTCATCTTCCAATCGGTGCTGAGGAACCAAGTGTGACAGATCCTGAATCCGTTCGTTGATGTTGTCACGTCGACGGCGCTCGACTAGGTTGTGAGAGGCCCTGCGGCGACGGCGTTTGGCTTCTTGTGTCTCCTGCTCCGGCATGTGTCCAGGCATGTGGTTATCCACTTTGGCAGGTAATGAAGCGTGTTTTCCAGATTTCAGGATTTCAGAGATACCGGCGTGGTGGGCTGGGTTGGGTGGAGATGAAATAGGCGATTCGCCAAAAGAATGACCACTTCCAGGAGTGCCATCCCATTGGTTCGAAAGCGTCTTCTGGTGACGATGGTGCAAGTTCGCTGTACGGATGGGCTGGCTCGGGAAGCTGCCAGATTCAGGGGTTCCCAAGGCCAATCCACCCATGGCGGGAGTCTTTGGGGTCATGGGACTGCGAGAGTCTGATATTGATCGGTCGAGGACTTGCATACTTGGACGGCCTTTGGCACCAAGGAGATTTTGGTCGAACTGTGAATTGGAGCGCTGGAGATGGGTTGGGATAGACTGAGCCTGCTGGTTCATGTTCCGGAACTGGTCGTATTGAAAATTGTTTTGCATGAACGGACTTTGCATAGAAGCATCTGGAGTGTTCGAATACACATGGCCCATTTGGCCTGGGTGACTCATGGAAACTCCGCCAGCTGGATGCTGCTCCTGGATAAAGTTCATATTATCGTTCCGTTGCATGCCATTTTGGCCACTGAGTTCGAGGTCGAGCAGTTCATCGGTATCAATCCCGGAGTTTCCGAAGTTGAAACTCGACGAGAGATTCTGCTGAGAGGTAAAGGGAAAGGACATGAAACCACTGTTCTGCATTGTTAAGTCAGAGGGATCGATGCTCTCGTTGTTATTGCTGCCAAACTGATTAGGCATGGCGTAGCCGGAGTGCGACATGATGAAAAAATTCGAATCACTATTCTCGTCAGGCTCATTCTTTATGTATAGGCTTGCTTCTGTCATGGTGTAGCTCGTTGCACCGGCCCTGGGCCGATTACCCGTTCGGTTTAGGTCGAAACTCACAGAGAAGTCGACGTTCCTGAATTGGAGGAACGTTATGCGTTATGGAAGTCGAACGGAAAACGCCACAGTTCTATATGCTTGCGTTGTATGAAACCGACGAGGCGCAAAGACGTAGATAAAAATGGGAGCCGCCAAGTATCTGTGATAGCGCATAGAGTTAGCCGTGTTGCACCGAAAAGATCCTGGAGAATTCATCCGCGACGTTGGCAGCACCTCTCTGAGTTAAATCCTGCCAGGTCTGAAATTCTTCTTCCCCACGTATTCACAGCTGTGAAACGTGGCAGAGTTTCAGAAGATGCCGGAATAGATTTCACAGAAGAGTATGCCCCATGATTGTATTCCGAGGGCGAAGGAGTTGCCTACCTTCTAGACAATGACGTTCATATGAAAGACACGAATATAGACTTTCGATGGATTCGATAACGGACGATAGTGCTCCGGCGATCGAGTGTAGTCCGTAGGACTCGGGGACGTAAGGGTTTGTTGGGGCAGCGATGGAAAATCGAAAGCGATTTGACAGACGGCTGAATCGGCAGGGAATGCACTGGATTAATTTGTCCGAATAAGGTAACTGTTGCCGCCCAGTGCGCACGAAGAAAAATAATCCCGAGTCTGATAAGATTCGCTGTAAGCGATCGCAATCAAAAATAGAAAAAGACACAAGAAAACAGTAAGGATATCAGTAAAGAGGCCAAGAGAGATAAAAAGGTGTGTTCATTAGTCGGCGGGAAAGGAAAAGGAGAAAAAACGATGCCCAGAATGGGTCCAGGGCAACCACGGATTGGAACAATGCGGGATGATATCAAAGAGAGCGCCCCAGAGGAATCCGGAAGGAATTTAAAAGACGAGAGGAGCCACAGACACAAGAGTCACTAGTATTGGAAGGAGCAGACCCGACAGAGATGAAACGAGGGAGTCGCAAGAGAGAAAAAGTGAGAGAGGCAAATGCCGTGGGGAAAAAGACAAGAAGAGGTGAGATGCGAATGCGACGAGTGGGGTGGCCAGATCCAGTGAGCGGTGAGGTCAGGCACCGCGGAGATAAAGCCGGCAGTATATGGCGATAATCGATATGATGCCATGAACTGTCCGGGGTAGACTTTTTTTTTTGATGTATTTTTATGTCTTTTAATGTATCACTTCTTCTGCCATATCCGAAATTATCGGTGCATGTCCGTATCCCTAAGCGCTGGTTGATGGTGTGCCTGTTCCGCCACAATGAGGTGCTTGTGGATGGTATCCATGGAACCCAGAGTGTTCATCAAGGACCCTGCGCGTATGCAAGCCGTTATATTATGGCTTCATTTCGACCGGGATGCTCAGAATTGCTGCAGGTCCTTGATTCCCAGTGGTATTGCTTATTGAGGTACTGTGCAGAGGCCCTTCTCTTTCCGGTCCCCTTCCCCGCGATCTGCCCTCGGACGGTAGAAACAAGGCATTTGAGACACTCATGTAAGCTTTCCGACGTGGGTTTGGAGGCGGCTCGGGCGATTTGGCTTTTCCCAATGGATTTTCGTTTTTCATGGGTTCGTTCTCCGATGAGGGGCAAAGTGGGGTTTGCGTTACTTGCTGAGACCCCTGAGAGACGGGTTCCAAATCCGAGGGTACTCAGCAGCAATGACGGCCGAAGTTTGACCATAACAGAAGGAAATGACCAAAAAGAAGCAAAAGAAATATTACACTTACTCAGTAGTCAGGTTCTTGCAGATGGACTGGAAGAAATGGTAAGCTTGGCTGTTAGAAAATATGCATGAGATAGATAAGTGTGATAAAAAGCAAAAGGAAGATGATGATGATGAAGGGAGGAAGAAGGAAGAAGGAAGAAGGAAGAAGGAAGAAGAAGAGAGGTTATCGATGGCGAGTCTCACGTGGCTGAGCCGCACAGGCATCCCCCAAAGAGAAACTCAACGACAGCCTCACTCGACAATGACAGTCACGTATTTTCTTTGGTATGACGAAAGAAACATCATGACTTACATGTGAAAGACCAGGTCAGATTGCCTCATCAACCCTAAGGCTGGATATGGCTAAATTCGGGCAACTCAGACGGGGGAGATGCTGTCCTTTTATGTCTCCGACCAGTCAGAGAAGTTGCGCCAGATGGATGAATTCAGCTCAGGGGGGGTCAGCAAGGAGGACGGATGTGCCGTGTGAGAAAGTAAAAAGACTACACAGGCCGGGGGAAAGACGGACTTTTTAAAGACGAGCAAGACACTCTTCTACACATCCCATTTGATATACTGCTGGGTGATGGTCATGCAGGATGTCGATCCATTAGATTCATATCAACCAGCTTGATTAACTAGAGTTTCTCTCATCCATGACGATGATGTTATGTTTCTGACTGCACAGGCCCTAATCAGAACGGCGTCCTCAAGAGGAGGGTGGGAAGCTCTGTGCTGATAGGCCGGAGCTAACTCCCAGGCACCTGCTCCTGACTTGAGGGGGGCAATGGCACCCTAACTCCGACTGCTGCTGATGATGATGGATGCTGATGGAGGGTGGAGGGAGGAAAGACCATCGAGCAAGTCGAGATGGTGGTACAGTCCGGTACTATTTTGGAAGGCAAGCCTTATCCCATGAACACTGTTTGGCACCTGCTCGCCAATCAGGCTGTAGCATTCAATCTACCATGACTCACGCTTTGGAGAGAATGTATCAGATGCCTGGTCGAGCATACCATGTCTGAGAGAATATCCTTTTTGTCCTAACTCGTCTCTTGAAGGAGGGGAGAAAATGGCATCTGGGAATCCGTGTACAGTACTAGCGGCACGCCATGTGGAAACGAGAATCATTATTATTATTATCATCATTGTTTTTTTTTTTTTTTTTTTTTTTTTTTTAAAAAAAAAAAAAAAAAAAGAAGGGAAGAAAAGAAAACGATCTCTACCTGCAGACACTGTATGCAATAATTTTCCATCTAAGATCGACGATTAAGGCTGACCATAGCCCAGAGTATACTGATACAGGCGGGAGTACAGCAACACAGCGATGAGCCCGGAGAGCTTAGGCCCCATCTTACTCAGATACAGACACCCGAACAGGCGAATTGCATTGCGTCTTCTCGACAGACTGTACAGCCACGGACATCCGAGCGTTATTGTCTCGGAAGCAGACAGATCTATGCCACCATCAGATACGATAGACGGTCCGTGACACTTGCAGATGCAAATCCCGCCAGGGAATGACGTCGATTCCCGAGAGGAGTGCAACTTCAACTCTATTCATGACGACAGCAATATAAATAAAAAATTCCGGCCACGAAGAATTTCAGCCGGATCGCGCGGTGTAGAGTACAGAGTACATACAGAGTACATACAGAGTACATACGGAATACATGCGGAGAATTCCTCCGATATAGCAGTCAATGATTTGAAATACAGACAGGAACTGGAATGTCAACAAATCAAATCATTTGACATGCGGAATGCGATTTGCATCCACCAACCAGACCTCCGAAAAGGTAGGAGTATATACGAGGCAACTTATTCATTATTGATATTGATAGGAAATATGGCATTTTGACTTTCAACATTGCCGTCTCGGCCCGTCAAGGTTTAGCGAATCTATGGTTTACGCAAGGAGAAGACAAATCATGTAGACAATAGCGAGCAATAGTATCATGCATCGAACAAAGACACTGTACATACTCTATAGTAGATAATGCGAATGCTCAATTAGTGGTAGTCGGATCGCCACTGGGGAACTTCTGCAACGGCGTATCCGCACGTCTCTTCATGACTCGCCATACTTCAGAAACAACGGTTTGGTCTGTGCGGGGTTTGGTTGGAGATAACTGATATGCCTATCGTGGTTAGCGTGACTTTGTAGATATATTCACAGCCAATGATATGTGGTGTTGTCTCATTGCACGCGGACCATTGGTGGAGACAGCGGGGCCCAAGAGACTAGTGCCTAATTAGGACTAGTGAGACAAACTAGACTATGATTGGCTATCGGAAACCGAATCACCCCGACTCCGAAGCTCAGCATCACCGCCATCACTGTCCACCTCACCACTATCACCATTCCTGCTGCACTGGCAACTGCTATTCACCACGACAAAAGAACCATTGCTCTAGATTAATTACGCGGAACACAATCAATATACCGGTATGTGATAAGACCAGGGTGGTGGTGATGGTGGTGGATGCGACGGTGTCCTGAACTGAAACCACTACCCACTCTCCGATATGGCTTCCCCTCCATCCCCTCCTTTACTAGAAATCAAAGTAAAAGAGGCTGTCAGCTGATGATTGGATGCCAAATCTGCAGCCTTCCAGGACGATCGTCGCCTCGAAAAACCTTCCTACGTTACTTTCGATACGCGCGCATCCTGTGTTTCTACTCCGTATACGGCAGCACCACCGGCACTGGCATCAGCAATAGCATCATCTTGCAGGCTCTCACTGCTCGCTTTCTCCCTCCCCCTCCATTCTCAAGGATCTCCGCATTCTTGCGCATACTCTTTCTGTTCGTCACTTTGCGCGCTTGACGACATTGCAACCCGGATACACCCGACGCACACCAACCATACTCCATCCTGGATATACTACTGGATGAGCTAGTTTGATACCTTCTCGACAAGGGTGTGCGTGAACTTTGCAAGAACAGGAGATTCCTCCCATTATTCGATATCCTACGAGTTCTCATCAACGATCCGGGGAGACGATCACAAGCTAATCACTATCGCCTTCCGCTCACCTCGTCCGTTTATTTGTCGAGTCTCGTTCCCTGTATCCTCCCAGTCATCTGGTCCACCGTTGTGATTGTGCACCGCCATTATAACCACTGCCATCGCTTGTTCATATCTGCAGATCATCTGCACGTACTCATTGGTTTCCGTCGTGCATAGTCCCTGCAGACGTTGTTCTGACCGCTGACTGACACTTGCGTACTGCATCTGCCTGCGTTTTATTTGTTCGATTTTATTTTCTTGCGCTCGTCCCTCGATTGATTCATTCATCAGGATTGGTGGAATCTACAATCCATGGCTTCAACATCCTTCCGCGATTCCGTCAGCTCCTTGGGCTGGTCTCGCCGCGATCCCGATCTCCCCGTCCGCACCAGCAACGATACGTCCTTTTTATCTCGGCTACAGTCAATTAATCCGTTTGGAGGCGAGGGACATGTACAGCTGCCTACTCATGAATCCCCGGGAGCACCGTTACCGGCGGCAAATCGGCGTGATGAAGAGGACAGTATTCTTGCCTGTAAGTACTAACCAATCCAACTCTCAAGTGATCAATTTATTGCTCCTATTTCGTTATGTTACACTGCCTAGTCCACCTGACGCACTCCGTACCTGCATTAAACACAGAGAAGGAAACTCGTGACAGTGAAACAAAACTAACGATATGCAGTAAGTCGATGGGATCGGATGCTCATATTTGTGGCATGCAACCTTGGTGCCGCCGTTTGCTTCTTTCTTTGCTTTTTTCTCTTCCCTGTGTTGTCGCTGAAACCCCGCAAATTCGCCATTCTGTAAGTTCTTCCCTGATGCCACGAGGATCTCCATAACCCCCGACATACCTCGTCCTGGAATGTGGGCATCGCATTCGTCATGTGTGGCTGAGGCACGCGTCAGAGTCGATGCATATCATTGCGCACTCGCCTTTTCATATTATCATCATTACTATTATTATTGCCAAGCGCTTCTTATTAACTAACCTGTTTTCGCTCTGCAGATGGTCGGTCGGTTCGCTATTATTTCTGCTGTCATGGGCGGTCCTCATGGGACCTTTGATCTATGCTAAGCATTTGATCTCGGGATCTCGGTTGCCTTTTACGGCTGCCTATTTCGGCTCGATTACACTGACGTTGTATTTTGCCATCGGGGTGAGTTCAAATTCGCTTATCTGTCTTTTCTATACGAGTCAGACCCTGCATGTGCATTGCAGGCGCATCGTGCCGTCAAACCTTGATATCGCTGCACTGCATTCTCTATCCTGAACCTAAGTACACATGACCATGCTAACTCTCTGAATAGCTCCACTCCACCATCCTCACTTTCATCTCGTCCATCTTCCAACTCGCCGCTCTGATCTGGTACTTGGTTAGTTACTTCCCAATGGGCAGTACTGGGTTGTCGTATATGGGGCGCTTCGGGGCTCAGCGGGTTACGAATTGGGTGACTGGTTAATCGCATTTGCTCCCGTAAACGACAACATCGGCAAAAGTATTATAATACTCTACGGAGACTTACTGGGGACGTAGATAATGATGCAAATATGTATATTGTAATACCACGTTAGCTAAGCGGTAATTTCCTTGTGCAGACATCATACTTCATACAAATTCGTCCCGTTTCTTTCATTATTCGTATCATATCATAGACATAATAAAACAAATTACTTCCGACTCATAACAACCCCCACCGTCCCCTGCACAACCTTGATACCCGGAAGCTCGGCCTCCCAAATTCCCGTCTCACCCCCGGAGCCGACCTGTAACCACTTCGCCAGCAAGTCATTACTCTCCTTGGGCTTGATATTAGGCGACACGGTACCGACAGTAACGTGCGGGAGGGCGTTCGCGCATGGCCAGAATCCATCATCACTGCCACTGCCATCACCGTTGTTGTCAGCGCCACTGTTGTTGGCGGTGCTGTCTTCCGAGGGTAGGATGCGGGCGACAAAGGTCATGAGCCGGGAATCCCAGATGAGGCGCTCGAGCCGGATGCGCGCGGATCCCAAGGGGGATGTTTCAGAGGTATCGGCGGGGTTCTCGTTATGTTTCTCGTGTAACTTGTTGATGTAGGTTTTGAAGTAGCGGTCCCAGAGCTGTGGGTGGTCCTTCTTAGAGGCACGGTGGATGAGCGTCACATGGAAGGTGGCCTGCACGCGCCGGGAGTTCACTAGTTGGTGATACAGACGGGCTTTTTCGGGCGGGGTGGATGGCGGAAAGAGGGAGTGGAGGAGGTTGGAGACTTCTTTTGCGGGGAGGGAGATGTTGAAGTATTCAATCTTTTTGGCGATGGCAACGGGAGAGGGTAATCCTGCAGCTGGCTTCTGCTGGTTGTTGTTGTCCCTGTTTGTTTCTTGCTTTTGTTTCTGTTTGCCATAGGAGAAGCTGAGATCTTGTTCAACTTGGTAGTCGTGCATGGCCGAATCGATCGCCTGATCCAGTTCCTGTGCTGAAGGCACCTGAGGTACCAGGCTCGGGTAGACAGAGTGCAAAGCGTTGACAACCTTTTCCAGATTCTCCCGGGATGAAGCAGAAACGTCCAGGTTGATAACCTCGTCGAAATTGTCATCCGGTGCCCGCTCCGTATCAACACCTTGGAACCGGCCCAGAAATCCTTCCATGATACCGATAATCTCGTCCGTGCTCTTACTACCGGCCCGGATCGTCTGATGGTTATCACCTCGGTCTAGCACACGTCGTCGAGTCACTTCCCGGATGCCGTCCAACATTTGGTCCTTGGGTTCGTGGACGTACTGCATCGCGACAAACCGGGCATTCGGGACGATTTCCTGGATATCCTGAATGATCTGTTCCCGCTCGCGCTTCATGTGGTTGTTGCGGTCTGCAATAACGGCCGGGCACACGGCAAGGGCATTCGTGATATCAATCACAAACTTCTTCTTCTTGTTCTTCATCTGGGCGATGTTGTCATTTTGTACGTGGCCCCATTGGAATAGCTTGGTCAGGGCAACGGCGACAGTTGTTTTGCCGCAACCGAGAGAGGCCACGGGTACCAGGACCACACTGTGTTCCACATCTTGACCTTCAGTCTCGGTTTCCATGGCGATGATCTCAGATCCGTTCAAACCACGCTCCCGGAGGAAGCCGTCGCGCATAGAAATGATACCATGGTTCTGGTTGTAGAGCTTTGCCAGTTTGGGATCCTTGACCAGCTGTCTCCGGGCGTACTGCAAATATTCCTCGGTAATCTTCTTGTGCTTCTTAATTCTGGGGACTTTTCCAGCGATGACCGACTTGGTACATTCACGCCACTGTCTATACATGAGGTAGGGTTCTTCAAACTTGTACTTGAAAAACCAATCCCCATAAACCCCGGAACCTGGTTCAATCTTCTGGCATCGAATCACGAATCCCTCGGTCTCCCGACCGTCCCATGTTCCGGTTTCAGCACAGTTGTCAAGAAATCCTTTGGCTGACTGAAGATCTTCAAACTGAACGAAATTCGCCTTCTTGAAACCCCATTTGTCGGCAAACTTGTGTACCTCTAAGCCCGGAAGCGTCGCAAAGTATGGCACGTTGAAGTTGATACCATGGAGATAGATACCCGCAGCGGACTCGTCGTAGGCAAGAACGTGTTCCTCGAAAGTGTCGTCACAGAGCTCTCCCACGGCGGTTGCGTTCATATCGCGCAGTTCCCGGGCGAGATCTTTGGCAGTCTTGCCCACAGCACGAACATGCGTCTCAACCCAGCGTTCTCCGGCTTCAGCATGGCTGACATCCGCGTCTGCCCTCTTTCCGGTCGAATGTTTACTGCAAACCAGCAGCGTGCCATCCTCCAATCCCGACACGAATATGATGCATCCGTTCTCCTTCACACTCAGCTCGTAGGGTCCCCGTGTCTGCGTCTCGATATTGCGCCATTGTGTCGTGTTCACTTCGTCCACGTTGAAGAACTTGTCGTATCCACGGGTCACGATTTCAGCGGTTCCATCTTTTCTTCGCGTAGTGAACAGGCCTCGAGCGTAGGTGGGGAGATCTTGGCGTTTGTATTCGTGATCTAGGAACTTCCACGAGTCGACGGAGATGTTCGTGAGGGCCACAGGAAAGGTGGACTTTCTGCAGGAGAAGGTTCGTTTCCCCTCGTTCTTAGACTTTTTGGTCGCCGCATTCAAGCTGTTGACGAGCTGCTCGACTTCCTCGACCTTCTGTTGCACCATGGTCGCGATGTGCCGATAGGAGAAGAATGGGAACGGTGTAGGAGAGGGAAGGAAGCGGGGTGGGATGAAGGCACGAGATCTCAACAAAAGGGGGGGTTGACGATGGTGTTCCCGTCCTTTTCGTAACAAGGTCAGAGACCTCAAGGAACAAAAACGAAGCGCCCTTCTTTATAGGAGTCGTTGAATGATTACGGTGGAGTTAAGTGAGGACTGAGAAAGGAGTCACTGTCTTTTTTTTTTTTCTGCCCCGCAGCAAAAACAAAGCTCCGATTTCTTTTTTTGCCGCCGCCGATGGAGTCTTCATTCCACTCTGTGTCATTAACTACATCATCGCTCCGGCTAGTATAAGGTAAGTGAACCACATGCTCTGGTATGACTGTCGCTATGGCTGTAACTAACTGACTCACAGCCATCATGACTCAACCCAACGCTTACGTCCTGGCGGCGGACAACCCCCAAGCAGTTCTGTCTCTGCTGCACCAGAACCCTTCCATCGCTTCAGACCAAGACGAGCACGGTTACTCCTTGCTGCACGCGGCGGCATCGTACGGACATATCGATCTCTTGCGTGCCCTGGTGAAGGAGTACAATGTCGACGTGAACCTCCTCGACGAAGACGGCGAAACCTGTCTCTTTGTGACCGAACGAGTCGATATCGCAAAATGCCTGGTCGAGGAACTTGGTGTGGACTACAACAAAGCGAACGATGAAGGGTTAACGGCGCGCGAAACGATCGAAACTGATGGTGTCCCGGAAGTCGCAGCGTACCTCCGGGAGGTCGCTGGGATTGCTGCTCCGCCGGAACAGCCCGCAGATGCGCTGAACCCAGCACCCCCATTGCCGCCGAATATCAATGTGAACTTGGGTACTGTGTCTGAGCAGGAGGCCAGCGCTGGATTAGATGAGGTGGATACGGAGTTCAAGCGGCGGATTGATGAACTGGCGTCTCGCGAGGATTTCCACAGTGAAGCGGCGCAGAGTCAACTACGGCAGTTGGTTATGGATGCGATTAACGGGTCGAATATTGAAGCGGAAGGTCGAGGTGTGCGGCAGAGGACAGACTAGATGCTATTATTGGTGATGCCATCACAGTCCCAGCACTGTCATTGTTTTCCTAAGCACAGGGAGAGATCTCCGGATACCTTGTCGATGCACCAAATGCTTCCAATATACCCTTACTGCTATCTATCAGATGAACACTAATTCAGTTGTCATCGCAACCAGTCATAGCTGCACCTGGACAGGTCACCTAGGAACAGAGTCTATAAATAGCGCAGTGAGCGTTATGAAATATATACGTAATATTCACAGTACTAACCGCTGATGTTCAGTATGTTGAGAGTCATATTTGATCTTGATACATAACTTCTACTGGCAAGGCGAGTGGTCTAAGGCGCTGTTGACTATAATCAACGACCGCATTCAAGAACATCTCAAGCATTGCAAACGCTGTACCCCACAACTTCCACTGAATGCAATGCCAGCCAATGAAGATTACTGCCTCAGACAGTAATGGCCTTTCTATCTCTGTTCACTACAATGTATTGTTCTATGTGGAGTTGCCCGCCTACTGCAATAGTGAGATATCCCTGCTGAAGAATCTCAACCACGGCTCTGGATCGGCCAAAATCTGGGATCCAGCATGAGTTTCGGCCGAAGGCTTTTGTGGGTATTCCGGAAATACCACCGGTTGGCTCAGCTATACCCACTACGTCCACCCGAAGTGAACTGTTCCCTGGTTCACGGGGTATAAAAAAGGCGCTTCGAAATACCGGGGATACTGTACACGGCTCGTTGTTCCTTTCTAGCAAAGCCTGTTGGCTCAGGTGGGACGGATGGGATGCACTCAATGATGAATACATGGCAATTCGTACCGGATCAATGGATATGGGAGGGTTGTTACGATCCTGCCTGATCAGGATGTACGGAGCTCTGGGTACTCGGACCTCGACTGACATTAGAATACAGTATGAGCCTATTATTGCCACTATTATTTCCGTGCCTGCTGGCTTATTGCGCTAAAGTTAACACTGCAGTCTGTATCTGCATCTGCAAGCCCTAGTACATCCACTCCCGGAAAAGGTTCTGGCGCAATATGACTGGCCATGACTTGACCTCCACTTGATCTTAGTTTCGGTTTCCGGAGAGAATCAGGTTTAGACTGGAAGGAGAACTGGGAAGGACAAGCATCATTGGCAGGGGATACTATTTCCCAGGAAGAGGCAGTTAACCCCCCAGAAATACAAAATGAAATAAAATAAAATAAAAATGAATGGCATCCAGGATGGCCTTTTTCGATCACTTCTTCAACCCTACTGTTCCATTTTGATCGAGAGTACACTGCTACTTAGGATTACTCGATTTTCCGTTATATTTTTCCAATGTACAAGCAGCTACAATGACAACTCCCAAAATCAGCGCCTCGCAAGAACGTGAAGTTAACAAGTAAGACAAAGCTTTCTACTTCAAATAGCCTAAGAATTTGTCCATTGACCATCTCACTAGATATCTACCATCATACTTATTGCATGGCCCATGTAGCCAATACATCTCCAACGACCCCCAGTCAAAAGATGTCGGACCGCGATCGTGCCCAGATCCGGTGCTTACAGCTTTTGCCCAGATGGGAACTCTGAAACTAAATGCGCAGCGAGCAATCATTTCGCTCTTCGGCCGGGACAATCAATACGTCCTAGCCGAAGCCACGCGAACACTCAGTCTGCAGGACGATGCCGACCACGACCCAGGGGATGCGCTGTGGATAGGGTGCTGTCAGTTAGACTACGAGCGGAGCTTCTGCAAGTACGTTTTCGACCTGTTTACTTCCGGCGACTGGCCGGGGAAGATTGTCATGATGGTACCGAATCTCAAACAGGATGCTCGCTTTGCTCAGTCTTGTGATATCCAGGGGTTCCCCTACGCGCGCTTTTTCACTTCGGTTCCGATTATATCCCCAAAGGGGGTTGTTATTGGGGCGTATACCGTTCTGGATAAGAAACCTCGGACGGCGCTGGACCCTAAATTCGCCAAGTTCCTTGGAGACATGTCAAAAACGGTGATGGACTATTTACAAATGACACGATTAAGATCCCAGCATCACCGGGCCGAACGCATGATGGTAGGGATCGGGAACTTCCTCGAAGGGAAGAGAAATCTATGCAACTCCCGGTTGGGATCCCGGCGGAAAGGACGAACAGCGTCCGAAGACCAAGATGCGATGCAAGGGCAGATCAACCTAGCACAGCAAACAAAGCATGTGGATCATGAGAAAGCGCAAGCAGCCAAAGCTACCAAAGAGAAACCTGCCGCTCACTATCTGCGACCGTCGACCAAGCCCGAAATGGAAGCTTCATCAGATGGGGGCAGTACTACTGATTCTCTCTCCGGACAGGTAGCAGATGCTTTTTCTCGTGCGGCCAATATCGCTCGCGAAGCTATCGAAGTGGAAGGGGTCGCCTATTTCGATGCAAATTTCGGTTCTTACGGTTCGTTAGTTGGTCTTTCACGGTCTGATTCGGAATTCAGCGGGTCAGAAAGTTCTACTCTAGGCGACACTGCTCCAAAAAATGATTCACACGATTCAGAAAAATGGACAAAATCATCTGATATACTCGCATATTCGACAAGCATGTCATCCAGCGTCAATCGCGAATCTGTCGACAATAGAGCTCTGGCAATATCAGAGACTCTCTTAAAGGGTCTTCTACATCGGTATCCGCGAGGCAAGGTCTTCAACTTCTCAGAAGACGGCATGCTCTCTTCGAGCGACTGTACCGATGGTGTATTCCATGATTTCTCAAACAACAACAGCAGCAACGCCAGTGCGCAGGACTTGAAGCGGACGAGACAATACAAGCAAACCCGGCAGAGAGTGCGGCAAAACGACGCAAAAGCATTGTTGAAATTAGCCCCCGGCGCCCGAAGTATCATATTCATGCCCTTATGGGATTCGCACAAGAAACGCTGGTACTCGGGGTGCATTGCCTGGACGCTAATCCCACAGCGTATATTCAGTCTAGGCGATGAGCTTACCTTCTTTTTCGGCCTTGGGAATAGTGTCATGGCAGAAGTCCATCGCCTGGGAGCAGAATACGCCGAGCATGCTAAGTCGGATCTGCTCTCCAGTCTCAGCCACGAACTAAGGTCTCCGTTGCACGGGGTGTTTGGCACTGTCGAGCTATTGAGTGATACTACGTTGTCTGCTTCTCAGTATTCGATGATGCATGCAATAAATTCCTGTGCTAGCACGTTGCTCGATACGATTGACCACCTTCTCGATTACGCCCGTATCAATCGATTTCAACAACCAAACCGAGACCCTACGTCAGGTTATGTTGGCCGTGATTTATCATCTGCTGACCAATCGAAGATCACGACTACCACGAGTAACCCAGTGGCCAAAGATGTCTCGGACGCCTTCACCGCGATACAACTGGACTCCATCCTAGAGCAGGTTGTAGAAAGCGTCTTTGCAGGTTATGCATTTCTACAGGACCCAAGTAGCCCTTATCGAAAACCACCTACGCCAATGGGTATCTTTCCGAGGAGCCGTGTACAGGCCGATTATTCGGCAGGGAAAGTGAAAGTGATACTGATTCTCGAAAACGCTAGCAGTTGGAGGTTCTTAACCGACGCAGGCAAGTGGCGCATTATCGTGCTGAACATTCTCGGAAACGCCCTCAAGTTCACGTCAAGCGGATACGTCTGTGTCACCTTAGACGCTTGTCCTTTGGTCGATGACCAATATGACCCTGGCAAGCCTGAAGAATCTCAGGTCACTCTCACCGTGGAGGATACCGGAGTTGGCATTTCCAAACGATACGCACGAGAGGAACTGTTTACAGCATTTTCCCAGGAAAACGCCCTGTCCAGTGGCAACGGCCTTGGTCTACATGTTACTCGACGCACAGTTCTATCCCTAGGCGGAGAAATCAAGGTCAGTTCCCAGAAAGGCGTGGGCACAAAAGTCGTGACGAAATTGAACCTCCAACGACCCCCAGAGTTCGCGCCCCCAGGTGCTCTAGGCATGAACACAGTGGACGCAACTCGAGAAATCACACAGGGCAAATCAATCGCCATACTGCGACCAGGATGGAACAAAGCGGAAGAGGTCCTCTGCTCGTCACTAAGCAAGATATGTCGAAATGGGCTTGGCATGAATGCACACATCTACATAGTCGACGGAAATCTCAATACGGAAAAGCATCTGCCTCGGTGTGATTACTACATTGTCACGCGGGAGGATATGAATGTGCCGTCTATCACGCCCGGCCCTGGCGAGCATATCGCTCCCCCGGTTATTATCCTTTGCTCATCGCCTGCAAATGCAAGTCGCATGTACGCCGCTACACCGATAGGAGACAATACAAACGTGATCGAGTATATCAGCCAGCCATGCGGACCACACAAACTAGCGAAGACTTTGAAACTGTGCAGCTCGAACCAACAGATGAAGCGCGAATCTGCTGATGAACAGAAAATTCTACCTATCCAGCCCGCGATACCAAGTCCCAAAGCGGTGTTCATGAGCCAGGAGCAATACACAAGGCCCCTTAAGCTCCCTGAAGTGAGAATCCCTCAGACCTCACCGCCGTATCCTACTCCGTTATCACCAACCCAGACCAATCCGGATCCAATCCTCACATCACAAACAGTACTAATCGTAGACGACAACGAAATTAACGTGCAGATCCTGGTCGCATTCATGAAAAAGCTCGCCTATGAATACGTGGTAGCACGGAATGGACTCGAGGCCTTGGACACATTCAAAGCAGACCCGGCCAGATTCAAACTGATCTTGATGGGTGAGTATATATATATCTCCCATCCGCACGCATTGATAACTAAATTAGATGCCCAGACATCTCCATGCCAGTAATGAACGGTCTCGATTCTACAAAGCACATACGCGACTTCGAGCGACAGAAACAGCTCGAAAACCCTCAATTAAGAAGACCCGTGACTATAGTCGCCCTGACTGGTCTTGGACAACCGGATATCCAACGCGACGCTATCGGGTCTGGGATGGATCTGTTCTTGACGAAGCCAGCACCGTTGAAGAAGTTGGCGAGGGTCATTGAGAATGCAGACTCTTTTACGAGCGCGGGCTTTGGTTTTGATGATTTTGACATGGCTCATCAGGAATAATCTTGTTTGTTTTTATTCATTTGATACCCTAAGTATGATTATGGTTCTTTCAAGGTTGAAGTTTTTGAGTATTGTATATTAGCCAGACTGATATTAAAATAGTGAATACGGAATGCTCTAGACCGCAGATACAGTGACTGCATTTCGTTATTTTCTACCGCTGTCAGCATGGCTTAACATCCATTCTACTTTCAAACATGTCGGCGCTGTCATATAAACACCACAGCAGCCTCTGCACATTTCAAGATGATCTGGACAAAACATTCTCGAGCTGCAGTCGGAAATATACTTCAAACAATTATAACGACGGTGAGCCCATACGCAAATCAAAAAACGGGAAGACATAGCCCTGAACCTTGAGGATGATTATCTATCAAAAGTCACAGCCATGACACAGAAGATTCTCCAGTACAGAGGCCGCTCTGCAAGGCCCAGATAGAAGCTCTTGGTGTTCCGTCATTGCCTTTTCCCCGATGACGACTAGAGCTCAGGGTATGTTAAAGCCCCGTCTACCTAATCTTCCAGTTCAGTGCTAGCATTTTCTGGACGAAAATACGCACCATGATGTCAGATGGGCCCTGAATGCATTTACGAGTTTGACTTTAGCGAGAAGCTGGCGAATAGAGAACGCGCGAGCTTGATTTTGCCATGTTTGGCCAGACCTGCAGCTGGACTGTGACTTTGGCCATGACTAATTGGTTTTTTGAGGATGCAAATGCAAAGTCATGATAATATTGGTGAGAAGCAAAACGCTGCTAAAAGCACGGTATCCTGTCAAATCACAGGAAGTGGCACAAATGGTGACATGGGTCATGTAACGATCTCTAGCAAGATGAATCTATTGGTAGAGTATCTGGCAAAATAATAGCATGAGGGGAAAAAAGACAGAACGCTGGGCCTGCCAGCGCTGGACTTTTAATGTGTGAAGGAGTCTCGCCCTAAAACCGACAAAGGAATCAAGTACATCATGTGACTGAGCAAGTGCCTATGCTCCGTGACAGGTCAGTCAACAACTTCATAGCTCTGGCGTCGCTAAAGCCACCAAGTGAACAAGTACAGCCCAAACAAAACACACACATTTTGGGACTAAATTATCGCTATAAAAAGGGTCTAATGATACATATGCGATGCATCTTTCCTCAGACTTATAGCAAGCAATGAAGGTATCTCAATAAATGCCGGATTGCGCCTAGTGACCGACACCCTCAAAATCTCCTGTATCTCAACATTTATTTCCAAAGAGCTACAAATACTGAACGCTAGTTTGTCAACTGCTGGGAATACCTTCCATCAAAAGGCATATGGCAACGGAATCCTACAACCAGGGTAATGAGCTAAATCTGTGAGAGCTCTCGGGAATTCAATACTCAGGGGTATATCGCTCCATACATGTCAAGTACAATAGAAAAGGGCTTGATTATCTAGGAGCGGCAATTTGACAACCACTGCAAGAGTTATTGCAACTTTGTGAGAGCAAATTTGAATATTCATGACACCCAGAATGCATACTAGATTGAGCACTCATACCACCTGATCAATTTGGTGATAACACAGTAATCCCAATGACTGCTTAGATGGGTCTATGTGCTCAGTAACTGAAGCTTCATATGTTATCATGTTCTGTGCTCCACCAATCTTGGGATTTTCGACAGCATATGGCGAACAGATAGGGCACTGGTTCTATTGATGCAGACTAACGGACTGAAAGCCAATGAACCGAAAAGGGTCATTTGTGCGATCACTACATTGGAAATACAGGAGAAGATGCTGAGAGGCATCTACAGGCTTGATGGTCCTGCACGGAGGTTCCATTAACTTGGAACACGCTGAGCTTTAAATCCTGACTATCGAGCAGTTCCATACAAATTCAGTCGAGTCACAAACTACGCCAATAATCATACGACGGAGTTCAAACTAAGCATAATCTCGTGAATGGCGAGATGGTCCCCAGTAAAACGTGGGACCATACAGTGGCCAATAGCTCAGCCCAGGAATTTAGGCTCACTTGTGATTGACATTTTTAGAAATACCATGGGCTTGATCTGGGGGGCAGGGGGAAGATCCAGCTTGGCATACCTTATGTTATCGATGTGACCGATCAGGAATGAGTACCGACCTGTATTTGCAAACGAGGGCTTCGGTCGAGTTTGTGGAGCTATCGACAGGTTACTGGTTTGCGACTCTCTTTTAGCTCTTAGGAGGTGTTTATTGGGCTAAGAATGCTAAGGATATTTGATTTCCTAGGGAGCATAGCCGAGACCAGGTCATTTCTAAGTGGACATAGTAGCCAAGTGACCAATCAATGACCCGATCAATCCTTGCACCAGCAAAGTGCTATCTTATTGCGCCTATATCAACAAACTTCAATAGTCAAACCCAGATATTTCTTTCATATCGCATCAGCTATATGGGCCTCGCTATCTCAAACATGCAGGAGGATCAGATATTGCCCAATCATTTGAATGAGGATTGGCGGTCAATGTGATAGCGATTCATGATTTTCATCAGCTGAGTTAACCCTCTCCGGATCTGTAGCTCCAAAGGGCCCACCTGGGGATCACATAGGGTAAATTGTGCACGACGGGCTAAAACAATAAGGATAAACATAGCATAAAAACAATTCATTTGCTTCATGAATAACTCAACCCGCAAATCCTACACCCAAGGCGCACAAGCAAGACTCGGCAAGTTTGCTAGATGCGTAATAGAGCCCTCCGCTGTATCTTTGGATGTCTTCCCAGCTGGCCTGATGTGAAGCCATACCTCATCAAAGGCATTCAATTCAACCTCAACACTTCCCTTGAAGATCTCCAGCTCAATATCGACCCGGAATCCGCTGCTTGGTTTTCCATAGAATAGGCCTAGGTTGATTCCGGAAATATCCACGGCCACTGTTGCTTCCAGGGAGACCGTGTCAATGGAGCCGGAGACCTGCCCGATTCAGTACTAGTCTTGTGGATTGGAGGAATGGAGAGAAGGTTTACCGTAAAAGCACCGACAGTAGTATGAAGCGGCACGCGAGTGGTGCCTGAGAGACGTCTGGTCACGAAAACATCGTCGCTAGGAAGTTGTTTGATGGTGTAGGAACCGAAGGCTTGTTCGGACTTGTGAACAACGAGAGCTGGTCGGGTTAGCATAGGTGTAGAGGGTTGGAAAACGTAGACATACCACTGTGATACATTGTGATTAAACTACAAAGTGATAGTAACTGAGCTGAAGATGGGCGTTGGTAGTGTGTGCTGATGCAGGTGGACACATACGGCTACACTAGGTGGCGATGACCTCCTTTTGTAGTCTAGCCGTACGTAACACAAATACATATAATGTGTGGAGATATGCAATATGATGCCGATTGTCACGCTACCCGCCACCAAATACAAATGTAGCAATCGATCTCTGTGAGGCTGATAGCTAAAAGTAAACCCAAAAGTTAGGGTTTGACAAACAAAGGATAGCCTGGTTTGAAAGAATCTACATAGACGTGATCTTGATTGTCCATTCTAATTGCTGTAAGCTGCTGTGCCTGTGCCCTGTTGAACCAGGATAGCTATCCTTTCGCCGCCAGACAGTGACCTCCGCAGAAGCGTCAGAAGCAAAGTAAATGCCAGAAAGCGATGGCCACGGGCACACACCACCCCGCAGCTGAAAATCACAATCAGCAGAATATGACAAAGAGCAATCTTGATCTGTCACCACTAAATCCCACCCCGGACAAGCGTGCTTTCCAATTTCCATCCCACGTGATCGGGCGCTGACATGTTGGCTTGAGCATATGCCTCTTTGTCGGGTTCTGTTCGTCCGAGTCTGTAAACCTACAGCGGTTGAACGTATCGGGGTCCGGATATTTGTTTGGGTCTCTCACAAATCGCAAAGAACTTGCGTGAGCAGGCCCGCTACCGAATTCGTGCTAATCAGGATAAGGTCAGTCTGTAACATGACAGGATTATAAGTCTGTCCTTGAGAGCTTTCTTCCATCCATTGCAGAGCATCATCTTCCTTTTCTGTTCGTATTGTCTCTTTCTGGGATTCACTGTGAGTTCGATGCGGACCATTTTAATCGTCTTTTGACCGGTTAGCCACTAAATTTTGTCAGTCCGTGCAGGATCTATTGTAAATAACAAGGTCATTTCTTTACGTGTACATATATCACCATAAATTGTGGCACATCAAGGAAGAATTGAGGAAATAAAATGATTTTCTTATGCGTTGCCCATCTAATTTTTTTTTAGCAACGAGGGGTCATACTATATGATATTCAAGTTCAAAATCGAGTGAAAATAACTCGACAATATTATTATGGAATATAGAAGAGTGAAAAGAAGAAAAAAAAAAACTGCTCATCGTCGTTTATAGTCATGTAATGTCACGCTCGTATAGCTTCCCCAGCTTGAGGCTGATATTCGCGCCTCAGAATGATCTTGACACCTAACTTAGGGCTTTTGAGTTCAAAAAAGGCGCAGTAAACTGCATGCACTGCTTTTCATACCCCATGATTCCCTGGGGTCCCTTTTCCGTATGGCTACATAATAGGGGATGTAGATCGGTACATGAACGCCACAGCCACGGACTATGCACATTATGTATGCCAATACCCACTAATTTAGCACTATCGCGGACCGGCCCAAAGCCTAAACCTTTCTTGTTGTCGATCAAATGCGGTCACAATATGGTGAAGAACCGACTTTTCAATCGCAATACGGAGTATAACTTTGTACCTACCAAGCTGCGCATACGTATTCCTGTCTGCATACAACAAAATGGCGCTACACTGCCTTGATCTGGGCATTTCACGATTTTTGCAGTTCAGCGCTACTCTGGTCCTTCCTGGGGAGGCTGATCTGGAACATTTACGCGGCACTGCGGTGGAATTGCTGAAAGCATGGCCGTCGCTGCAGGAAAGGGTCAACTTACTGGTTCGTATCTTTCTTGATACTCTGGCCACCATCATCTAACAACAGGGAAAACAGAGCGGCCGACTCTCAAGGGGAAAGGAAGATGTTGAAGAATTCTGGAAATCTAAAATGTTGATTACCTGTTCCCTAAACGATGTCGTCCCAGTCACCAATGGCCGTGTAAACAATTCGAAGAATTTTGATGATATTTTTTCCTTTCCTACGGCTTGTAAGTCTATTGCTCATCCTCCGGTATTGTCAATCAAGGCCGTTCTTCTCCGGGATGGTTGCACTCTGAGATTCATAGTACAACATCCCTTTTGTGATGCTGCTGGTATGTATAATAACCCCTGGCTTTGTGGGACTATCTAAGTGAAAATCCAGGCCTTTACCATATTATTGAGGCATACCGTTCTCTCTTGGATGGTGAACCTATCAAGTCTATTAACCCTCGACAGCCGATTGAACTGAACGACGAACTTCCTGTCAGGGAAATGCGAAGTAGAGAGGCGGGTGAGCCATCAGACTTTGCAAAGTTTCAGGAAGAGTCCATAAAAGTGGGATGGCGAGCATTTGGCAAGGTCTGTATCAAACAATTTTTGCTGAATCCAAAGAAATTCGAGAATTCGATTCGTATCCCAGCGTCCAGGATCGGCTATCTGCGAGAAAAAGCGGAAGAGGGAGGGATAAAAGTGACTTCTCATGATTTACTCTTGGCTTGTATTTACAAGGTTAGGCTTTAGGGTGTCCTCTTACCTGGTGAGAAGCTGATTCAAGAAACAGTCTTGCGCAGTCTCCCCTACTTGGCGAAAAGTTGCAAAAGATGGAAAAGAAATGCCGCCTTTCAACATTATTCTCAATATCAAAAACTTGTTAAAAGAGAACACACAGCTCCACAATCCATTTATCGGCGTCAATGTCCCACCACCAGCAATTACCGCAACTTCCGAAACCGAAGCCATCCTTAACCTGGCTGCTCATATGCGGTCAACTATTGTGAACGCTCGCTCGAGAGACTGTCTAAGCCGCGTCCTTGACAAACACCAACGTTTCCAAGGAAAGCCAATTGGAACTCGAAACCTGGGGTCCAAGTTCCCGACAGTATTCGTCAGCTCCTGGGCACATCTACCTCTTTTTGACCTTGAGCTTCAGCTTAGTGCCAGCAAGAGGGCACGGATATGCTATATGGAACCGGATATTGCTGCTGCTGAAATCTTCAGAAGGGCTGGCTGCAAGAAACTTGCAAATATACTCGAGACCTGGAAAGATGGCAAGGGGGATTTCTGGGTGCATGGGGTTTTGGAGAAGAAAGTGTGGTCGGAGCTCAATAACTATTCCATTGAATGTGTTTAATATACCATGGAAAACCTTGTTTTCTTTTCTTTTTGCCCTTTCCCAGAATGCCATGTGGTTATAATCACGTGATCAAATATAGGGCTTGTTCAGCTGATTAGAACGTTATTATTATTTAATCAAGTTTATTGTCCATACCGAGCCCTAGAGCTATGATAGACCCTTATTCGTGGACTTGAGGCTGGTAGTTATTCTACAGTCTTTTATCCCCATAAGCTCCTGAGGCACTAGCCTCCTTCTAGAATCTTTCTGATCCTTTTCCTCGCCCCAAACCGCCTGTATGCGCAGGGCTTTCGAGCCGAGTGCTCTCCTTGTGTTTCAGAGCAGGATGGGTGTGGCCTAAGCTGGGGATTTAGCTTAGGCTACCCTCCCTGCTATCCTTCTCCTGTTCTAATCGCCTCTTCCAGTGCTTCCAGTCCCCATTCATTGTCTCTTCGGGCCCTTTCCGCCGTTCGCTGAGAATGTGCTCGGGGTAGAGCCACACTAGTACTAGCCAGAAATTCTAGCAGCACCCTGGTAGCTCTGGGCTCTCCTAACAGTCGTCCCTGTGGGTGTTCCTCTGCACCAGCGGGTCTCACAACCCCATCCAGCTCCAGATCCTTGTAGAGCTTGTTTCGCTGGTGTCGCCATTTTTGGCATTCAAAGAGAAGATGGTGTATTGTTTCCCTTGATATGCCACAATCTCTGCAGGTTGCATCCTCTTGGGCCTTGACTTGATGTAGATATACTCCAATAGCTGCATGTCCTGACTTCAGTTGAAAGTACCGGCTTGCTAGATGCTTGGGAGCAACTGCAGCTGTTGGGTTGAGCTACCAGTTTTTCCGCGGCCTGTATATTCGTTGACCTTGTTGAGATTGTTGGCTGAGCTCTTTGGTGAATCATCTCTGCTTCTGTGTTGTGATGGCTTCTGTTGGGGCTCTACAGGCGAATGCCAGGGAGATCTCTCTTGGGCCTCTTCCTGGGGGTTTGTTGGCTGCCGGCTTTGCTACCTGGTCAGCCTTCTCATTTTCTTCTATCCCTGCGTGTCCCGGAACCCACTGGATGGTGGGTTGATGACCTCGGGTATGTAGTCTCTTGGCTATAGCATGTGCGTGGATTGCTAATGCTTGGCCTGGTCCAGGCTGGGCATGTTGCAGCCTCGCGATGGCGGCCTGGGAGTCCAGCAGGATGGTCACTGGTCTCTGATCTTCCACTTTCTCTGCTAACTGGAGTGCTCGAACAGCTCCAAGAAGCTCTGCATCAAAGACCTCGCATCCCTTGCCAAATGGGAACCCCTGGGTCTTCCATATTCCTCCTGGCTCTTGCCAAGCGATCCCTGCCCCGCATCTGCCGTTTTCTAATCTTGATCCATCTGACCAGATTGCTAGTCCAGGAGGGAAAGATTGTGCTGCTGCTAGGGCCTCTGGACCTGGTAGCGCATTAGAACGTTAACACTTAAGACAATTAGTTGCTGCATAAATATCTGCCTAACTCTCAAACTGGTACATACGACCATAGGGTGTGGAGAACAGGGCTTCCCGTCCGCTCAGCCGTACTTAAGCCACACGCCGGCCGGTTAGTAGTTGGGTGGGTGACCACCAGCGAATCCCGGCTGTTGTATGTTTTTGTTTTTTGCGGAGTTTAATCGTGTAGCGAGTGATTAAGACTGTATTCTTGCGAACGTGGGGAGCATATTAATTTTATTAAATGTGCAAGCTTGTTAAGACATTGTCATATAAGAATTGAGGGGGTGTTGGGCGTATCCGGCACCAGTTGGGAAACGACAGTATCAAGTAGAGTGTGTAGTGACCAAATTTAAAGCCCTAGCCCCCGTGTGGCTTGTTCACTTGATCATTTCGATGCCGGAGTAGGTGGTCAAAATGACCACCAGGACATTGACCTTGATTCTCTTGTATCTAATTCTCCGCCAGTGGAGGATTATCAACCAGGCAGCAGGCAATAAGAGAAAGAAATCAAGAGCATACATGACCCCCTCATCGCTCAAGCAATCCGGAGCAGGGGCCTTCATCCTCCTTGTAGTCAAATACGAGATATCTCGTTCTAAATAACACAAGATAAACCTAAAGTACTCCGTGCTAAGTGGTAAGCATAGTCACCTACATGGATAACTGGGAATCACTTCACCCCGAGTGATTCAAATACAGCTGACCTTCTGCAGAATCACAAGGCTCAACACAGACCATATTCATAATTTGTATACAATTTTTAACATCATCGAAGTCAGCATCAAACAAATCGCACATGAGGTTGCATCGCCGCAAGAGCCATTCCATTTACCGTGTCGACAGATGTGGTATAGCCCATTTGCTTGAGTACTTTGCGATTGATTTTGAATCCTGTAGTAGGAAAACGCGACAGACACCGGACTCCGCCAGTCAATCTCCTCAGTTCCGTCAATTTGGTGCTGACGAACTACAAAATTTCCTACTCCAAGTCCATCAAAAGCTACTGTTCCTACGCATGCTCAAGCTTAAATATCACAAACTACCAGGGATCATCCAATTGCATGAGCTCATTGTGGATACCCACAACCACGACGCTGGCCACAGCTGGATGCTCAAAAACCACCGCTTCTAGTTCCGCGGCCGAGATGTGTGTGCCATACCCCTCGCCTACCTTGAGGAGCTCTTTGATGCGGTCGACAATGAAGACGCTACAGTCCTTGTCCAGGTAGCCGTATTCGCCCGTGTGGCACCAACCTTCCGCATAAAAGTCTTGATTGGTCTTCTTGTTGTCCTGGTAACCCCGGAAACGACAGCTGATTGCGCACATGAATCTCCCCGGACTCTCCGGATCCCAGCTCTCGCCCGGTCTCCAGTCTGATGACTTTGGCCTGCATGCGGTTTACCAGGGTATCGCTGAATCCGCTACATCGCAATACCTTGTCGCGTTGCACAGAAATCAACATCGTCTCCGACATACCCTACTCCAGGTCCAGATGCACGCCATTGAACTGCTCCGATATTTTTGTCGCAGGTTCTCGTGCATCGGCGCGCCAGCCGTGAGAAGCCACTTGACGCTGCTGGCATCCACCCCCGCGCCGCGCAGTTTATCCCATGTCAGACGGGATATAGCACTCAACTCCAGGGATATAAACGTCGCCCGTGGTGGAAGATGTAGTTGAATACATCTGTGTTGGGCACGGGGGAAAGAGGGAACTTGGACTCGAAAATCATGGTCAACAGCTTGAATAAGTAGTTGAGCAAGTGCATACGTGAGGTAAATAGAAGCGGTTTAAAAGGCATTGCGACAATAATTAAATATAGGTAGGCCAGTACTCTGCCCCCACTTTAACCAATAATAACCCCTCTTGGTATTGCATTTCTACTTCGGCCTTGCAACGCCTATCACACATGAGCTTAAGTTCAATGCTGCAGGCTGAGGTCAAGGCTCGTATGCGCTTGATAGGCTCCGTTGAGTTCAGGCTGTATTATTTTTGGTGGGCGTTTTTAGATGAGGCTTGACTTGTACTTTTTGTTTCGATTCTTTATAAATACGATATTAGCACAAGCCTTCGCTCTCCAGGGAGATGACTGCGCAGAAAGCTTCAAGGATGTGAGACCATTGATCATACAGCAAAAATTTAAAGCTGCTGCATGAGTAGTTGCATTTAATGAACGACAGACAGGCTGCAGCTACCCGTGTTGAGGATGTCTTCGATATGGTGTCTATGCTTTGGCGATATGCGGCGTCAGTCGAGTATTGTATAGCGGCACGGAGGGATAATTGGAACAATCCCTAATATCTTAGCTTATCCCTTTGCTTTCAGGGGAAAAGGCTCGCCTTCTGAGTAATACCGAGTAGCCTATCGGCTGGAGTGATTTATTTACTGCGACAGGTTCTCCAGCATCCAGGTGGAATACCTAGCCTGGAGAACATGAGTGGTTAGTATTAATAGGTGCAAACAAGACAGTATATTGAACCTCATCTTGTGGTAAAGAAATGACCACTGGAGAGGGGAGATGACATTGCTAGATATGAGGTTCCGGGCGGAGCAGCCCTAAACTGGGTGGTCGTCGAGCCCGTGGTCAATTAGTGAAACGCCACTTCGCCCTCTAGACTGACCACACTGTCTTTCTTCAAATATCCTATACTCTAGATTGTCAAAACCACCCAGATTGTCTCCAAGGGGATGTACCGAAGGATGAGACCAAGAAAAGACTAGCCGGAACAGCAAGCATTATTACAAATAAAAAATATAACTATATAAAAAAGAAGCCTCCGAATCAAAGGAACATGTCTAAATTACCATCACTCTCCCCTTCTCTCGCTAAATCCTCTTCATCACCACCATCTAATCAGTCATGTACACCAACCAGCTAATACTCGGCCAGACCATGGACATTGTGCGCGTGATTGACGAGATGTACAACGCGACAAATTCCAACGAGCACTCATAGCTGGTCTCTGGATATAGCTTGACTATTGGCATTTATGTGTTAATAGTAGGCCATCTGGGCGACAACTCCGGGCAGTTGTATGCTCGAGCTTCATGATAAACACAGTCGTGAGATCAATGATTCAAAAAATCCAAGTAATCCCAGAGTATACGTCAATACAGGAAGTTAACCTGGACTGTTTCGATTTTGGAGCATATTGATGTCTGAATATTCCACAGCCTTGTCCGCCCCGCATGCAGGACAACTGTCAGATATCCTGCCATTTCTTCAAATTTTGACTACGAGATCCTAAATTTCCTCTTTCGATTATTATGTATGTCACGCCATAATGGCTGGCTACATGTGCCCGCATTATGAAGACTACACAGTCGGGATAATCTGCGCGTTAGGATTCGAGATGAACGCCGTCCGCCACGTACTAGACCGCGAGCATGTGAACCTACCAATCAAGCCAAACGACTCAAATATATACATACTTGGAGAAATAAAACGACACAATGTGGCGATTGCCTGTCTTCCTGGAAGTCAAAGCAAGAGCTCGGCCGCAATTGCTGCGACTAATATGGCGCGGATATTCCCCATGGTTAGGTATCGTTTCCTCGTAGGTATTGGAGGAGGTGCTCCGAGCGAGAACAACGATACCCGCTTGGGCGACGTGGTGGTTAGCATGTCCAATGACCAGAAGGGAGGATTTTGCAGTATGATTACGGAAAAGGCACTGAGAGCGGCTTCACTCACAAAACGTTCACTGGGTCGCCCCCGGCCGCTCTCCGGGCTACGATTTACAAAATGCAGTCTGACCACCTATCTCGGAGTAGTCAGATCTCAGGCTATCTACGGAGATTGATACTTCAGCCTTGTGTGGGATACCAGAGACCGTCAGAAGAGGATACCCGTTTCCAAGCCGACTATCCGCATACCTCTGGTCAGCAGTCCTGTGGGCAATGTGACCGGACGAGATGTTTTCAAACCTCACTACGCCCGGAAGATGACCCTCGAATATTCTATAAATTGATCGCATCAGGAGATAGGATGATTAAAAGTGCCGCGAAGCGAATCGCCATTAGCAACGGTCTAGGTGGCAGTGTTCTTTGCTTTAAAATGGAGGCGGCAGGCTTGATAATTGAATTCCCTTGTGTGGCTAGTCGTGGGATCTCGGATTATGCCGACTCACATAAAAACGATGCATGGCAGCCGTATGCTGCGGCTACCGCTGCAGCATGCGCCAGAGAGCTGCTTACACATTTGGAGCCTGAGCAGGTCTCTCGAATAATATTATCGGATTTAGCAGGTAAATTTCCGTAGACACTACATTCATGGACATTATGCTTATACAGAACACAAATCAAAGTTCACGTGCCAATTTGAGGGACAACGTATTAGACAGGTTTCTGTATGATATCTGCGAAACAGACCCACGGAATGAGAAGATTCGCATCGAACAAAGCAAAGGCCGCATCCTAGGACAATGTTACGACTGGGTTTTTCCAGTGCCGCGAGCTACAAGAGTGGCAGAAAAGCAAGGATACGCGATTACTATGGCTTAAAGGGACACCTGGTAAAGGGAAGACTATGGCAATGATTGTCCTGGTGGAGAAGCTCACTGATCAGATGAATGCTAATTCCCGGGGCTATCTTTCTTACTTTTTCTGTCAAATTTCCATTCCTCATCTCAATAACGCCAATTTCGTCCTCCGAGCGCTTATTTGGAAGCTATTATGGATGAATCGCAGTCTTTCCAAATACATCCCAGACGAATACATATGCAAAAAAGACCGTGGCAGGGAGATATTTGACGGTCCAAATGCGTTCGCCATCCTTACAAGCATGCTTGTTGCGATACTAAGAGACCCAAGTCTCAACACGGTCTTTTTGCTCATCGATGCTTTGGACGAATGTGACAGCGGTATGCGTGAGCTCTTGGACTGGATTACCAAAGAAAGCTTAAAGGGTTCGACGAGAGCCAAATGGCTCCTGTCAAGTCGTGACTATCCAGAAATTAAGGAGCGTCTTTGCTCGAGGCCCTCATCACTATGTCTGAGACTAGAGTTTAATGAGGCTCATGTTGCGAGGGCTGTGAACTATTTATTGAGTATAAAATCAAGCAGCCGGTGCAGATGAAGGAGCTTTTCTCACAACTCCAAGTAGAAATTGAAATGAAGCTGAAGGCAAAAGCCGAGGCTACATTCCTTTGGGTCTCATTGGCCCTTTGAATTTCAAGGGACTTGCCTCGGCAGCAAGCATGCCAGAAGATTGTATGGACGACATCAGTCAGCTTGTTGAGATGTGTAACTCATTCCTTATTATACGCCAGGGGTATGTCTTTGCCATCCATCAGTCTGCAAGGGACTACTTTTGCATGGGTGCAGGTCAAAGAATTTTTGTCCACGGGGTCATACACGAACACAGAACCATGATCCAACGGCTGCTTGATGTAGTGGACGCTACTTTAATGCGGAATATCTACAAATTGCCTTATCCAGGTTGCTCGGCAGATGAGATAAAGCACCCTCAACCTAATCCCCTCGCTCCATTGCAATATGCGGCTACGTACTGGGTAAATCATTTGATTAATTTTTGTCAACAAAACAGTGCCCAGCACTGCCATGTCGGGCTTAGAGATGGGGAAGAATAGACAATTTCATAAAAAAGCACATCCTCCATTGGCTAGAAGCCCTGAGCCTGATGGGATACATGAGTAAGGCCGTTGTAATGATCAGAGAATTGAAGACCTTCTAGAAGTATGTGCCCCAGACCAAATTGATGTCCTCATTTTTCTAATCTCGCCCAGGAATCTCCCACAAACAAGACCGAACTGCTAGCCTTGATATGCGACATACAACAGTTTATCCGCTACCACAAGGCTTGCATTGAGGATGCACCTTTGCAGATATACTACTTAGCTCTAATCTTCAGTCCGCAGGCAAGTATAATAAGACGGCTATTCAAAGCCAAGATTTCAAAATGGCTGAAGACCCCAATAATGCTCAATGAGCACTGGAGTCCTTGCTTGCAAGTCTTTGAGGGACATGCCCATTCAATTCTGTCAGTAGCTTTCTCGCCAGATGGCCGACTGCTCATTTTTGCGTCTATCGATTACACCGTACGGGTATGGGAAGCAGCAACTGGCGCCACTCTGCGAACATTTAGAGGACACACAGGCCCTGTCAGGTCCGTAGCAGTCTCACCGGATGGCCGGTTGATAGCATCCGCATCTCGCGATTGCACTGTCCGACTATGGGATCTCGAATCGGGACATCAGCGAGCAGGTTTTAGAGCTTACGGGGACATAACCTCAGTGGCTTTCTCGAGAGACAACAGAAAAGTTATATTTGTTTCTTGTCATCAAGTGGTACAAGTACGAGATGCATGGACCGAGTCAGCAATATAATCATATTTTTGTGACATTAGACCAGATGTGTGCTTGGATGTATCGCCTTATGGTCGCTGGATTGTCATGGCCTGCAATGAAAAAGATATATGGCTTACTGACACCCAAAAGAATATCAAGAAGGGGCCGTTCAAAGCGGACGGTGACGATCCTTCAGTAACTTTCCCACCGGGAAGGCAAGATTTGGTCATGTCTGTTACACTTGCGACCAAACAGCTGAAATATGGGACATCGAGGCGAATACTGTGCTGGCGACATTCGATCCCGAAGACCGAATCCTATCCGCCGCACTACTGCCAGATGATCGAAAGGTAGCAATTGCCGCCTATGAGACGATGCGTTTGCGGGAAGGAGATACTATCCTGCAAACATTTGCCGGGCATACCGATCTTATCCGATCAGCAATCATGTCACCAGATGGCCGAAGACTGGCAACTGCTTCTGAAGACAAGGCAATAAGATTGTGGAATGTGGAGTCAGAGGCTCTTATAAGACTCCCTGCCACTTATCCTGCTAGTATGATCGAACTCATAGCCTTCTTACCCAACTGCAGAGTAGTTGCTATGACGTCCACGGATCAGGATGTGACGCTGTGGCATATTGACACAGGAACTGTTCTGCACACCCTTCAGCACCCTTCTGACGTCGAAGCAATCGGTTTCTCACCAGATGGTGGCCATATAGCAACCCCCACCGCATACCGTATAATCTACCTCTGGGACTGGAAGACTAGGGTAAAGTTGAGCTCTTGTGGTGCGGGCTCAGCTCAGCTCGATTATTTCAACGAGCATTACAACACAGGTTCGCCGGTGCTCCGTTACTCACGAAATGTTCAATACGACCATCAATAGATTCTTTATGATGGGAAGAAGGTATTATGGCTTCCAGTTATGCATCAGCCGTACGAATACGAAGTCGGGGGTTGTAATCTAGCTATTGGCTGTTATACAGGACAGATTCTTCTTCTAAGCTTCCCCCTGGATCCCAGTTTGTTGACATAGATTGTCTATCTAATGTACAATTGCATATCAAAGCTTATATGCGAACAGAAGCTTTCAAATTTGTAGTTAGAAAGCAGGTAATTCCGAAGTACACGTTAGCGCAGTAGGAAGTCAATCCCGACCATCGATACGCTATCTCGGAAGATATAACTCTATACTAGGAAAGCCATTCCGGTATAGGGCTAGTCCCCTTTCATTCTATTCCCTTTCAAGTATATCATGAACAATCCATATGTAATAGCCTTCTGTCATTGAATCAAAAAAGGTAACGTTAACAGCTTGCTGCCTGCCAACCCCGGAAAATATCCAGTCTGGAGAGCCGAGAGCCGTCCGGGGTGCGGGATCTGGGGTAAAGCGTGGAGTATATCTCTACAATTCCCTCAAAACTTGATCAAGTCAGTATGCGATCCCGACGGTCATCGGTTATGCTTATCCGGGGTATCTTGACGACCCCAGACGCGCGATATCAAGATATCTCCGGAAACTATCCGCAGTGTAAAGATACGGAACGATGATTTGCCCTATCCTGGTCTCTCCTTTCTTCCCCTCACGAGCCACAGAATGTTGCACAGTTATGTATGCCCCTCTCCTTCACCTCCTTTCTTTTCTGTGTTTCAGTCCAACTCTCTTTTTAGATTCAATTGAACATAATCTACAATGAATCAATCCGATATACATCATTCAGCCCTGGAAACCGGCCAGGAAGAGAAACAGAAGACAGAGGGTCCAACTCTCCCCGACGACATCCAAAAAGCAGAAACTACACCTTACCGCCAAGATGTTTTTGGCGATGAAGAGCACGCAGAGGTCAAATACAAGACTTTGAAGTGGTGGTATGTCCACTCCCACTTTCAGGCAGGCTACAACTTGCTAATTGTATTCCTGTGCACAGGCAATGCGGCCTTCTAATGGTCGCCGAAACAATCTCCCTTGGCATCCTCTCCCTCCCCGCCGCCGTAGCCGGCCTAGGCCTCGCCCCAGCAATCATCATCCTTATCTCCCTAGGCCTAGTAGCTTCGTACACAGGCTACGTTATCGGACAATTGAAATGGAGATACCCGCATATATCCAGTATGGCGGACGCAGGCGAGATTCTCATGGGAAGATTTGGTAAAGAGATACTCTTCGGGGGACAGATATTGTATCTTATTTTTTTGATGGCGAGCCATTTGTTGACATTTACGGTTGCTATGAATACGATTACGACGCACGGGACTTGTTCGATTGTGTTTGGGGTTGTGGGGTTGGTACTGTCGTTGGGGTTGTCGTTGCCGAGGACGTTGAAGAATATGTCGTGGCTTTCGTTGGCTTGTGAGTTTCGCCTGTTAGGTGCTTGATAAGTACATAAACTGACCTATACAGCATTTATCAGCATTTTCACAGCCGTTCTCCTGACAATGATTGCAATCGCTATCCAGAACCCTCGCCCCGTTATAAAAGCAACTGTTCCAACAAACCTCGTTACCGGCTTTACTTCAGCCCTCAACATTTCTTTATCCTACGGTCCGTCCCCTCTACTCCTTTTATATATATACGCAAAAGTTAATGAAACCAGCAAGCCACAACATCTTCTTCAACGTGATCGCCGAACTCAAGGACCCAAAAGACTTCCCCAAAGCACTCACCCTGCTGCAATGCATTGACATCACCCTGTACCTCGTCGCAGCAGTGGTTATATACTGCTATGCTGGTGATAGCGTTGCTTCTCCGGCACTCGGCTCAGCAAGTCCGCTCATCTCGAAGATTGCATATGGCCTTGCATTACCGACTGTACGGCCCCTAGTCCCTACAGACGGATTTATCAGTGACTGATGCTCATTAGATTATCATTGCCGGCGTCATAAGCGGCCACATCGCCTGCAAATCCATATACACGCGCGTCTTCGCCGGCACAGACCGAATGCACAAGCGAGATTTCACGGCCGTAGGGTCGTGGATTGGGATCGCTGTGGCTCTCTGGGTCGTCGCGTGGATTATCGCGGAGGCAATTCCGGTGTTTAGCAATCTACTCAGTCTCATGGTATGTTCCACCTCCCAGTCCTTCAAGTATTTATCCATATTTTGGCTGCGGCTGATCGTGATGCAAGACTGCCCTATTCGCCAGCTGGTTTAGTTTTGGTCTCCCGGGTATGTTCTGGCTGTATATGAATAAGGGATTGTGGTTTGCTTCACCCAGAAAGATATGTTTGACGGTGGTTAATGCGCTTTGTATTTGTATTGGTGTGATTATGGTATGTTCCCCTCTACTTACTGCAGGGATTATGGCTAACGAGCTCAGTGTGGTCTTGGTTTGTATTCTTCTGGCAAGGCGATTCATGATGATTCGAGTAGTGCTAGTTTTTCATGTGCTGCTAATGATGCGTAACTTGTGTGTTTTAGCGAGATCGATTGCGTATTTAGCCATCTCAAAGAATGCTTTATTGATATAGTTACGAGACAAGGCATGCTAGAAAAATATAGTTCCCCATTCGGATTGTACATATGTACATCATGCTAGTAACCTAAGCAAACAGAGATGAGATGCTCTTCGCCCTTCTAAAATAGCATGAAGCGAATCAATCGTAAGAGTACAGGCTGAAAACGCTATTTTAGAACCGTAAAACAATAAACACAATGTTGTAAAGTAGGGATATAAGCGACACGAAAGAAGTAAAAGGTAAAAAAAATTCATTTCCCAAAATACACTCTAGGTTCACACCTTTCATTGTTTCGACAAATCATCTTGTTGAATATCGGCAGTGTCCTGCTCCGGGTTCTGGCGAGAGGCTTCATTCGACGCCTGCTCCTGCACGCCAATGGCCTTTGCAGCAATCGACTTTGCCTGACCCTCGTTGACTTTGCCATACACCGCCATGGCGTTGGCAATCATACCACCAAGATCACCGACATTCCCCGGCACAACGACCGCTGTACCCTCACGAGCCAACTTCGAGAATGCGTCAACATACTTCTCAGCAACGCTAAGACTGACCGCCCCGTGGGCATTCTCCTTGCCCTGCTCAATCGACTTGGCAACAGCCTCGATTCCGCGAGCAGTAGCCTGCGCCCTCAGCATAATCGCCTCAGCCTCACCAGCAGCATGGTTAATATTCTCTGCACGCTTCGCCTCGGATTCAAGAATGATGGACTGCTTGTGGCCTTCTGCGATGTTTATGGCGCTCTGGCGTTGACCCTCCGAGTCGAGAATCTCTGCACGCTTCGAACGCTCAGCAGTGACCTGGCGGTGCATAGCGGAGACCACTCCTTCGGGGGCGTGGATATCCCGGATTTCATAACGCAAGCACACAACGCCCCACTCCTTGGCCGCCTCGTTAATGGCCTGAGTAATATTGGAATTGAGTGTTGTTCGCTCTTTCAGCACGTGGTCAAGCGTGAGCTGACCGATCTCGGAACGCATCGTTGTCTGTGCAAGCTGGGTAATAGCGTATTCCGCATCCTCGACGCCGTAACTAACCGTCCCCATGTATTAGCCAACCCCTCTCACTAATTCAAACAGGTAAAGAAGCATACTTAGCCTTAAAAGCATCAAAAACCCTGGTATACAACACGCCATCCAACTCCAACGTCACATTATCCGCGGTAATAGCATTCTGACTCGGGATCTCAATCGCCGACTCCTTCAGACTCTTAACATACGAGATGCGATCCAAGAATGGAATAAGCACCGCCAACCCAGGCTCCAGAATCCGATGAAACTTGCCCATCCGCTCGACAATCCATGCTGTCTGCTGGGGCACGAAGCGGATGACGGTGTTGGCGGGGAGAGAGTTGCGGTTGGCGAAGTAGGTGGTCGGGACCCCGCCGTGACCGGCCGAACCGGATCCTAGACTGAAGAGGGATTCTGGGGCGGTTCTTTGTGAGGTCGTAGAAACATGGCGTGGTCGTGGGGTGCGATTGAGGGTGGTGTAAAGGCGGAGGCTCTGCGGTTGCCGGAGCAGACGGTTTGAGGGGGGTTGGAGCAGTCGCGCAGGCTGTCTGAGTGCCACCTCCATCGTGACAATGGACGAGTAGGTGGTGGTTTGATAGTGGTGAGAGAAACCTAGAGGAATAGCTTGGGGGGATTCAGCGGTTGGGGAAACGAAGCTGTCCGATGTCATTCACCGGCATGCTCTGATTGGACGAGATGTGTTTGTTGCCTGAGGCTGTAGTCTCCGGTGATAATATTTCTCCGAGGCACGTTCTATGGCAGAACACTAGAGTACTAGAACTATACTACGATAAGGAAGAAGCATGCAGAATTATATATTCAGACTGCCAAAAGAAATCTAAACAAGCCAATGAACCGTATCCCAACCGTATCTCACGCTACTAACAATCTCATAAACAAGCAGTTTACCCATGGAATGCATGCCGCGTTACTCTTCAAATAGGACGAAGCAAACCGATACCGTACTATGCAAGGTGAACAAGATTAAAAGATGTAGAAGAGAAGAAAAGTAACCCGACTCGAGACGCATCAAAGCGAGATCATCAACGCTGCGAGTCGTAAACGTAAAAGAAACTAGAATATGTGAGTGGACGCGGCTCTCTCGTAGAAAGCAGTCCCTATTATCACGTCGACAGAGTCAGGGGACCTGACAAAGGGAGAAACAAAGCGTGTTTTCAAGGTTTTTTTTTTTCCTTTTTCCTTTCATGCTCGTACTAATACCAAAATGTAGTAAAAAAAAGAAAGAAAAAAGAAAAATAGACGTGGCCGCAGAATATTAAGCAAAACGAAAACCCGGATCTCTATGGTCGTAGAAAGAAAAAACAATTTTTGAAGTCCGGCATACCGTCGAAGCAAGCATCGGATTTGAAGACTTTGTCAGCAGAGCATGTCCGGACTCCGGAAACGAAATTTTTGAACCCCCCTCCCATGAATGAACAAAAGCACAAGATAGAAGAAACAAGAGGCAGTCGAGACGTGAAGTGCGCATCATATCGCAACCTGCTGTACGGCGACAATTGTATTTCGACCACTTGAGAGAAGGTAAATGCAAAAAAAAAAAAAAAAAAAAAAAAAAAAAAAAAAAAAAAAAAAAAAAAAAAAAAAAAAAAAGAGGACGGAGACTCAAACATGATGCAAAGTCATAAAATCGCACAAAAAGGCGACAACAAATAATGAGAATAAAATGGTAGAGAAGAGAAGAGAAAATAGGGTAAAAAAAGAAAAGTCAGCAGAACAAAAAATCACTTTTCCAGCTCGGCTCTCAGGCTAACATCGAGCACACAGTCGATCTTTTGCAGCTTCTTTGCGTAGGAAATCCACTTTGACAGGTTGAACGTAAAGCAGAATCATCCGATCATTATGGATGGATCCTTTCAGGCCAAGGTCCAGAACAATATTATCACACGGCCTCGTCGCAAAAGAAGCACCATAAAACAAATCAGCCTGTTGAACCCGCTGCTGGAGCGTCGTACAAGTAATCGTCAAACGCTAAACTCCTAAACTCATTGTACATTTGTGCGTTGAAATTTTTGAACCAAAAATCGCGATCAGAATTGGTACAGAACGTATCGGATCGCAGTGAAAAGAATCGTTCTCAAGAACTTGTTTTCGAAAAGCATATGATTCGTTGAAAAGATTCGAACGAAATTCATAGGGGAATCTTGCTTCTTCGTCAAAAGATTGGTGGACAAGTGTCACAGACTGTCAATAGGTTGTGAAAAATCACCGGCCGCCGACAACCCAGGCGAAGAGAATAATGAAGCCGCTTCTATGTTTAGTTTGCCTGTTTGCGAACCGTTAGCAGATGGTTACCAAAAAAAAAAAAAAAAAAAGATGAGAAGAGGTCAGGAAATCCCTGATATTCCCTATATTTAATAATAGGACATACATTTGCAACCTCATTCTGAGGAGTCAGAGACTTGGACGGCGAGAACTCTGGGGCTGTCGAGGACAAAGACGTCTTCGAAACAGAAGTGCCGTTTGGTAGCGAGTGATGGTGGCTCACACCGTTAACGGCTCCCTCGACATGGTTCTGGGCCGGCGAGCTCTCGATCCGCGACGGAGGGGGGCCTTCGCTCTGAGCAGAGGGGTCACGCTGATCGATAGGGAAGACCCACTGTCCCCATTGCTCTCTTGGGCGCAAACGGTCGACACCGTCTTCGCCGATGTAGTGCTCGACAGTTCGAAGTTGACGCGAAACATGACGGAGGAGTTCGTAGTCCTCGGTCAGGGTCTTGATCCGCTTGAAGTTGGCGATGAAGTTCAATGCGACGAATCCCTGCGAGTCCATGTGCTTCCGGAGGAACAAGTCCTTGCACAGGTTGTCAACAGAGAAGTAGTATTCACTATCATTTTGTTAAAATCATGTCAATTTGGTAAAGACGAAGAAAACTTACAGTTGCATCGAAATCATGCTCATAAGAGAGAAAGGCTCCATGTAAGGCTGGTAAGGGAACGCCGTCATGGGGCCAGCGGGCATAGGCTGGTAGGCAGCATACATGGTGTTGATGTCGGCAGGGAAGGGGTAAACACCATACATGGCCGAGTTAGGCAGCGAGGGAGACCGCAAAGGAACGCGGTTGTTCATGCTCTTGTTGTAACCAAACGACTTGGGATGAACGAAGGAGTGCTGCATGGGGTTGTAGAAGGGGGTTTGCGAGCCATGTCCCGAGTGGCCACCGCGTCCCCGGTGAGAACCACCTCGTCCGCGCTCGGGACGAGAGTCACCACGCTCCCGGTGGTGGTTATGGTGGTGGTTCTCGCGATCAGCGTGGAAACCACCAAAGTCAGCAGACTTGGGTCCATTCTCGAAACGGCGGTCCTGGGTCACACCGTTGCGGGCCTGGGGATCAACGGACAAAGGAGTCCTGTCGCCCTTGTGGACAGACTCGTGGTTCCTCGAGAAGCCCTTGGCATGACGAGGGAATGAGTCTCCATTGACCTGCTTGCCAGCGTTTGCGTCGTCCGCTCCCTTGGGACCACGGCTCCGGTCAACGCCCTTGCGCGAGTCGGAGGCACCGGCAGGAGCCTCCGCGCTGTTGGATCGTTTCGAAGGGAAGGAGTTGGCACGGCCGGTGTTCGGCTCAGAAGCCATTTGCTTGGCAGCACCCTGGGGAGCCTGGTTCGAAGCAGTCTTCTCGACAGCGGCAGCGGCACCGTGAGGACCATGGCGACCAGCCTCCCTTCCACCTCGTGCGACACGGCCACCTCTGCGAGCGCCAGCGGTCGGAAGCGGGGTGTTGAAGACTGCGCTGGGCACATATGGAACGGGCATCCACTTCTCCTTACCATGACGGGCACCAGCGTTCTTTTCGGTCTTCTCAGTCTTATCAGTCTTTTCGAGCTTCTCCTGGGCCTTCTTCTTCTCCTCTCCTTGGGCAACCTGGGGGGTAGGCCACATGGAAGCATCGGCCACTGGGGGTACATCTGTAGAAATTGTCAGTTCACTGGTGTCAAGGAAATATAGTCTCAAAGCACAAAAAAAAAAAAAAAAAGGCGTTGCGATGGATGCTCCGAAAGGGATCTGCAGCAAGAATCAATGCGACTCCTCAAACTTACCCTCATCGCGGCCCTTGGCTCCGTCGGCCTTATTCCGCTTGGTACCCTCAGGCGCACCATCTGCTCCCTTTTTCTTCAATGCCGCCTTGGGCAATTCCTGCTGGGGTTCCCCTGTTGTCGAAGAGGCCGTTGATGCAGCCTTGGAGGCTTCAGTCTTGGTAGAAGCGGGTTTCGAAGCCGCGACAGCCTTGACCCTGGCGTCCTGTGCTTCCTTTCTTTGCTGCCAGACGTTGACAGCGGGCAGAGGGGCTGCCTTGAGCTCCTTTGGTGGTGAGACATTCTTCTTTTCATCAGACTTCTCATTGGTCTCTTCGGTAGACTTCTCGACTCCCGATGCCTGGGACTGCTTGTCCCATGTCGACTCCGAGGATCCGTTCACTGTGTTCGAGTCTTCGTCCTTTGGTGCGGTGGTGGACGAGTTGGCAACACTGGGAGAGGTTGTCCCGGAGACGTCGTGTTGGGCGGCCACAACGGGTTCCGCTTCCTTATCACTAGGAGCGACGGTCTTCTCCTCCTCAGCAGGAGCATCCGTTTCGGTAATTTCAGGGACTTCGTTCGCTTGTGCGTTGGAATCGGTATTTTGCTCCTCTAGTTTCGAAGCGGGCAATTGTGTTGCCGGCAAGCCCTTTGCTGCTTGGGCGTAGGAAAATGTGGCGGCCATTTTTCACTTTCTTTAGTGTTGGCGAAGATAATCCAGATATATCCGTTCTAGATAAGAACAAGAGGAACTGTTCTGCCAGAGAACGAGGGCTCTCCCTTGGCAATCCAGAAAGAAAAGATGAAAAAAAGACGGCGAGATTACACCAATAGCAGTGGAAGTCAGACAAAAATCAGCTTCCTCCTACTTATAACCCCACCAACTGTAACTTCCCGTGGTAATGGAGAAACACTCCCGCTCAGTTGCAGACTGTAGACAAAAGTATGTGATCCTTCACCAGGTCGGGGCCGGATAGCACGCGGGTTGTCCGTAAACGATGTGTAGCTAAATCTTGGTACGAAGGGCGTATCTAGCACGCGGATCGCATCGGTCTAGGCGTTTGAATCGATCGTAGTCTTCGACGTGCGAGGGACGGGCAAGACGACGGAAGCGCAGTCTGGGTAAACACAAAAGGGACTTCGTACAACGAACTCGCGGTTATCCGGGTCGTAGTTCCTGTCCACTGGTTGACAAAACTGACGCACACACACGACAATGAACTCGTTCGAGAGGCGTTCGGCAGATCCGAGGGGACGTATCGACGAATGGTTGTTGGATAGGGATCGAAAGGATGAGCACCCTGAGGCCTTCCGTATCTTTTTTCCGAGAGAATCCAACAGGTACCTTGAGGTCAACTGGAACTAGACCCCTTGACGACAGATGGCGGATACGAACGAGGGGTTGGTGGGTGAATGTGGAAGTTGAACCTTGAGGTAACGATAATTTTTTTGTGGGTGTGTGTGGGTGTGGGTGAACACTTTTTTATGGGCCTTTTTCTTTCCTTTTTTTCTGGAACGTCCAACAAGAAGTCAGAAAAGCGATCTCAAAGAGACGAGAATTTATAATATACAACTAACCTCACCTAGAAAGAAGAGAAAGAGAAGAGGGAAAAAACAGAGCAAGTGTATAGAAGATCGACCGATCAAGAAAAAAATCCCGCGAAGGACGAGAGGAGAGATCGGAAGATGGAGGAATGAAGCACCGACAGGCAGAACTCCAGGCGACACAGACGCCAATAGGCGAGAGAAGAGGATAAAGGGAGGGAAAGATGCAGAAAAGAAAAGAAAAAGAAAGCAAGAAAAGAAGTCAGAAAAGACGTGCAGAGTAAGAAATGAAGTAGGCAAAGTACAAATGAAAAGTCGCTCTGTGTGTATTGTGGGTGCGTGGTTATACAGTCATGTTGGTGGCACTAGGTACACACGGGAAACAGGAGCGTTTTCATTACAGCCAAACACGCACAATCTTCGGCCGGCGGATGTTTCCGGTTAGGGTCTTGTATCCTTCTATCCGCATTGCAGGTACGGAGTACAATAAAATGGAGTACTGGAGGGGCCATGCATGCCCCTCTTTACAATGCATATTATTGTTTACTACAGAGTACTATCATGTACTTGTAGACTTTCAAGCAGTACGTAGTAAGTTAGGGAGAAAAGGAAATGTTCCTGGAACTATCACCGTACCAATTATTGCCGCAATTGCATTGTCTAACAAAGTACCATGTGCAGTCCTGTCCCAAGCTCTCCTGTCGTCACTTTAATTTCTCATATGCTGTATCATGCAGAATAATAACAATGAGGGGGCGTCCCAGCCATTTGGGTGGAAGTGCTATTACCACGCGTACATTCCAGGTCCGATGTATAACTACCATATAGCACGGTGCTATGTATAATTGTAGGCCTGAGCCAAATCCCGTAGGTTCTTTTATGTAAGGAATCGATATTTTACAGTTATCCCATGCCCAATTCGGAGTCCACGGACCGGCTGTCAAGAGCATAGGCGCACATACGTCAGTAATGCCAATACCGGTAATACCGATACTCATCAGCACAATTTAGCGCATCCTCTACATAGTACTGATCAAGGCCAAAAGCAAGGCAGACCGCCTGTATGTATAGATATATATATATATCTTGTACTCGTCACTATGCGAGAGCACTATGTACATACCTGGCTTCTATTTTAGACCTGTCTGTGCATAGTGGACCAAATACAAGGTACGGGCATCCCTTCACGTGCCGCTCCTTCATTGTCTCGGAAAACAACAAACCATCGAGTCGAGTCAAGTCAAGCTAGTTAACCAAGGTATGTGCGTTTCAAAATAGAAATGCTCTTATTTCAAACAACCTAGCCAGCCACATCAGCGGCCAGGAACTGCATTGGACACTGTACAGGCATGGCCATGTACAAGCATGTACCTGCGTGCGCTCAGCCAACGAGAAGCAAGCAGTTACCATCTAGATTACCGTATCTGTATCTATGTAATACCAGGAATGCACCACACCCTGTCCAACATAATGTCACGTGATAGTATCAGCCGTTATCCGTGGTCTGGGCGCTACTGTACGAATTAAATGGGGCTGGAATAATCGCTTAACCCGCGTGGTTTGTTTGTCTAGTTCGTGGTCCGGGTTTTACCTTATTAGGGCTGACGTCGCTGAAGAACGGAGAATTCCCAGGCGACGCAGGCGTTGAAGAACTAAACTCTGAATGGTAGGTCGGGAGTCTTCGGAGGTTCGGTGTGCTAAGAGGTCGTAGGTCGGAGGGCCCCGCGCTAGCGCTCGGAGGGCCCCGGAGCCCCCTTACCGAGTCCCGCTAAATCACATGACCCACTAACATTAGCGAGCCCTTTCAAGTACCAC